GTGTAGAGCACCAAAGCTCCTATAACCACCTATATCTCCCACCACCACCCTCTGCCTTCTGGCGGCATCTTCAGCCACTTGAATTCTCCTTTCTTAGCTCCTAGGGCCACCTCCATGCCCTGCCCGAAAGGCCTGGCCTCAGGGCCTTTGTCCTTGCTGTCCCTTTAGCTTGGAACACGCATCCCTAAGGCATCCACAGGGCCCTCCCTCACTTCTTCTTCTTGAGGCCTTCCTAACCAACCTACATAAAATAGCCACCCCCAAACTCATTCTATGCTTTAGTTAAAAACGTCTTTAAAAAACTGTGGTAAAATATACCACAACATAAAAAGTACTATTTTAACCATTAATTTTAAAAATAAAAATATAGTTGAATGCATATAACAAATTTTCCCATCTTAGCTATTTTTAAGTGCATAATACAGTAGTGTAAAGGACATCCACATTGCTGTGTAATCAGTCTGCAGGGTTCTTTTTTTTCTGGCAAAACTGGAGTTCTGCACCTACTTAACAATAACTCCTCATTTCCTCCTCCCCTTGGCCCCTGGCAACCACTCCTCTACTTTCTGTCTGTAAGAATTTGACTACATTAGGTATCTCATGTAAGTGGAATCATACAATATTGATCTTCTTGTGACTGGCTTTTTTCACTTAACATAGTGTCCTTCCAGTAGCGATAAACCCTTATGCTAGCATGTGCCCGAATTTCCTTCCTTTTTAAGGCTGAATGAATAATACCCCACCGTGTGCCTGTACTATGTTGTGCTGGCCACTCATCGAGGGACACTTGGGCTACTTCTGTCTTTGGCTGTTGTGAATAATGCTACCATAAATAGGGGTGTACAGATACCTGTTGGAGCTCCTGATTTCAATTATTGTTATTATTATTATTTCTTTTTGAGACAAGGTCTCAGTCTGTTGCCCAGCCTGGATTGCAGTGACAATCTTGACTCACTGTAGCCTCAACCTCCCAAGGCCTAAGCAATCCTCCCAATTCAGCTTCCTAAGTAGCTGGGACTCCAGACTTGCACCACCACGTCCAGCTAGTTTTATTTTATTTTTTTGTAGAGACAGCGTTTCGCTATGTTGCCTAGACTGGTCTGGAACTCCTGAGCTCAAATGATCCTCTTGTCTTGGCCTCCCAAAGTGCTGAGATCACAGGCATGAGCCATCACACCTGGCCCCTGCTTTCAATTCTTTTTCCATTTTATTTTATTTTATTTTAGATAGGGTCTCGCTCTGTTGCCCAGGCTGGAGTGCAGTGTCCATGCTTTATTTTGTCTGCAGAGCACTGATTACCATCCAACTGCCCTCCTCCTGCCCTCAACTAGAGATGCAAATGACTTCTATTTGGTAGAAAGATAACCCTAAAGGTTATAATTGTATTGCCTTAAGGACATTAGCCAGTTTTATTTTATTTTATTTTTATTTTATTTTTGAGATAGAGTCTCGCTCTGTCACCCAGGCTGTAGTGCAGTGGTGCAATCTCGGCTCACTGCAACCTCTGCCTCCCTGGTTCAAGCGATTCTCATGACTCAGCCTCCCACGTAGCTGGGATTACAGATGCCCACCACTATGCCTGACTAATTTTTGTGTTTTTAGTAGAGGTGGGGTTTCACCACGTTGGCCAGGCTGGTTTCAATCTCCTGACCTCAGATGATCCACCCACCTTGGCTTCCCAAAGTTCTGGGATTACAGGTGTGAGCCACCATGCCCAGTTGCAACCAGTTTTACTTCTAACCTAGTAATTTTATTCTAAGATTCTTTTAAAATGTCTATAAATAGGTCCTCCAAATGTTTTTTGGACCAGCTTTGCCATCTTACTTGTTTCATCATTAATGATTAGTAAATCTCAGATATGTGTTCATTCCGTCTTTGTTATGGGAGTTGTGTTTTTTAACTTTTAAAAAAGTATGCATTAGCATCCAGAAGTTTTTCCCAGGGACTAAAATCTGCATTTAGATGAAATTCAGTACATCAGTAGTTTAGGACTTCGGGTGTTTGGGGGCAACCCACACTAAGCCATGTAAGTGCGTGCAGAGCCTCTTGAGTTGTGGCTCCTGTTGGTGTACCCTGGGGATCGGGAAATTCCAGGAAGCTTATGAGGACCTGGATCTGCTGGGCCCCAGGAACGGCCAGTACTTCCTCAGCAACCACTATGTGCCATGCACATTCTGAAAGCTTCCTATGTGTTAGCTTATCCTCACACAGTCTCCCTGAGATAGATACTAGTTTGCAGATGAGGAAACAAGCTCAGAGGGTTTAAGGAACTCTGAGGATCAGAGTTTAAGCAAAAATTATAGAAGAAAGACCTAAATAAAGTGGTTCTATGTGCATCAGGATGGTTGAATGGGTGTTTTTCTCTAGTTCTGCAATTTCATCTAAGATCAAAGCCGAGAGGGGGAAGCTAAGATATAATCTATGGTAGGAGCAACCTTCCCGTGGTGGCAGACCCCACCCACACAGGCAGACACCATCCATCAGGGGACTGTGGTCTCCTGTGGGACAGACGCACTTCCAGGGAGCTTGCTGAGAGGTGCCAGTTCAGACTAGACCCTTCCACCAGCTGCCTTCCCCACTTCATCCTGGTGAAGTGAGAGGGGTGTTGTCATTGGCGGGGGATGGGTGCAGAATTCAGGAAAGGAGCTACTTACTCGCCTCTCCACTCTGGGAGGCAAGGGAAGATTGACCTCAAGTCAAGGGAGGTGAACCCCAAGAGCATCACTGTGAAGGCTGGGGGCCCATGCCCTCCACTTGCCTCCCCACACACTGAACTGGGCACTGGTGACCATCTTATCTACATGTGGCTGAGGGACCGGACCAGCAGAAGGTGCGGCGCTGTGGGTGGTAAGAGAGATAATAGAAAGCAGTGGCTCCAGGATGGGCAGGGGAGAGACAACCAGGGGTGCGCCTCCCTTCCTCTGAGGGTGAGGAGGATGGTTGCTGGATGCTGCAGGAGCTTGCCGGCTGGGGAGATGGCGGCTGCAGGCGGCTGGGGACACAACAACCTGGGTGGAAGAGGTGTGCACTTTAGAGGCGTGCGCAGATTGGTACCAGTGTGTGGCCTGTTAGGAACTGTGCCACACAGCAGGAGGCGAGCAACAAGTGAGCAAAGTTTCATCTGTATTTACAGCCACTGGCCATCACTGGCTCACATTACCACCTGAGCTCCACCTCCTGTCGGATCAGCAGCAGCAGTAGATTCTCATAGGAGTGTGAACCCTATCGTGAACTGTGCATGGGAGGGATCTCGGCTGCATGCTTCTTATGAGAATCTAATGCCTGATGATCTGTCACTGTCTCCCATCAACCCTAGATGGGACCACCAAGTTGCAGGAAAACAAGTTCAGGGCTCCCACTGAATAATACAGTTCACTACAGAACACTATATATTACAATATAACCATCATAGAAATAAAGTGCACAATAAATATAATGTGCTTGAATCATCCCCAAACCATCACCTCCCTGGCACCCGGTCTCTGGAAAAACTGTCTTCCACGAAACTGGTCCCTGGTGCCAAAAAGGGTGGAGACTGCTGCTTTAGAGGACTGTGGCTAAGGGGTCAGCTGGAAGATGGGGCCCAGGGCTCAGGGACCCCAAATGCCCGGTTGCTGCCATTTGTCTTCATTGATCTCCTGGTCAGTGAACTAGATCAGCAGAATGAAACAGCAAGGCGAGGCCTGTGACCTTCCCAAGGGCAACTCCTAATGTAGGGGAACCTCTGTGCACCTCCTGCCCACGCCCCTTTCCATAAAGGGACCCAAAGACGGAGACAGGGAGGGAGGGAGCTGAGTGCAAGCCCTGCTCTCCCAGGGCAGTGCTCACTTCCAATCTGGGGATGGGGAAATGGGGCAGCCTGATTTGAATGAGAGATTGTGGTTTGCAAATCAATGGAAGAAAACCTGGAAGAAAAACATTTTAAGAATCAAAAGAGACCAAAAAATCTAACGCCGAGTTCATCCGTGTGCGATGACAAGCCCGTCCCAGGTGGACGCAGGTGGGAGTCGTCGGAAAGCTGAGCGTAAGTGCTTGAACCCTCTGTGTCCGTTTCTTCCTGTATAAAATGGAGACAATGATAATACAGGAAAAGCTTCTACCACTTAGAGGTGTTGTGGGGAGTTACTAAGTTCATCTCTGCAGGACGCTTGGCACGTGGAAGGTGCCATAAAGACTAGCTGTCATTCTCCAAATTGTGACTTCCCCCGACACCAGTTCAAGGTGCTTTCTTCCCACTTGATCCAACAGCAGTCATGTCGGTGGTGGGACACTCTACTTGCTGTGAGAAGGATAGAGAAGGGGTTCCTCGGGGCCAGGCCACAGGACCCTTGGGACAAGGCCCTGCCTCCATGTTCAGGGCTTTCAGCAGCTATGGACCTGATGGGGCTGCAACAGGCTTTGCAGGGAAGATGGGGGAGGGGCACATGCAAAGAAAAAGCTGATGAGCAGTCTGCTTTGGAACAGGGCTGGACACTCTGTGTTGGGGAGTCCAGGGCCCCCAGCATGGCCCTGGCAGCAGGGAGGGCATGCCTGGCAACCTTCAAAACGTGAATTTCCAAAGAGCACCAGGAGGAAACCTTCCAGAACCTTCTCACACTTGGGCCTCTCAGGGCGCTGTTTTCCACTGTCCACTTAGGTCTTAGTACCTTACAAAAAGGCACCTTCCTTATGGGAGATGACTGAGGTGGGGGAGAATCAATTCCTGTTTTCCTACCCTCGTGGAGGATGTCAAGTATGAAATCCAGAGAATTTCTCTTTCTCCAGTTCAGTGCGTTCGAAGGAGACCCACAGGACTGGAGGATCAGCTGGGACAGGAGAACACAGCCTTTCTTGTCTAAAACCAAGTCAGTTCCACAGAACTGGAAAAGCTCATTTAGAGAACTCCTGGGCTCTGGGCACCTGTAGGGTGGGTAGGAGCTAGTCTGTTAGGGAAAAGACAAACTCATCACACAATCCTGTGCCTTCCCTGCAAGAAGAAGACACTTGGCCAGGCCAAGAGGTGAAGTTCTTGTTTATTGTTGCAGCAACTCTTATACAGACATTAGCGTTCAGTTAAATAAAGGAAGATAGCACAGTAAAATACATCACAACCCCAAACCGGATGACTGTGGCCACGGTACAGAGGAGGGAGGGAGGGACCAGTGACCAGACTGTCGAGGAAGTACATTCAGTGGGTGTGCGGTGTCCACATTCCAGGCTCACGTGTAGATATATTTTATTTATATATTTATTTATATTTATATATAGATCATTGAGTTTTGTGTATACAAAGAACGATATTGTTACAAATACAATACTATACTTCTCCCGACGCTTTACAATAAGCTCTATTTCACCCTCTTTACAGAACAATAGTACAAGTTCATACTCTAGGTGCTGTGCTAAGTATGTACAAGAAATGTCATTCCCACACAGTCCTCACACACTGCCTTGATGGAGGGGAAGAAAGATCGAGTTGTGTGCTCAAGTCGACCCAGGCCAGGGAAGGAGACAGACATGAAACTCAAACCAACAGGTGGCCTGTGAATGTGAGTCAACACATCTAAGGAGGGGCGGCCCCTGGTTGTAAACATTGGTAACGGCTACACCACTGGGTCGAGGGACCCAGGAAGGGCTCTGTAGATGGTTTTCATCCGTGTGCGGGAGGTGTTGGTGCCCACAGGGTGAGGGGGGCAGAGGAGCGATGGGGGAGGTAGTAGGTTACTCTGGGACTCCCTGAAGGCGGTGTTGATGGGCAATGTTCAGAAAGCAAACCCGTGCACAGGGACCCGGCGCCCCTGCAATGCGCTCCTAGGAGCCTGCTCTGGCGAGGGAAGGTGTCACTGGAGAAGTGGGCTCCAGGCATTGGTCTTTGGGGGTTTCTCCCTCTCGTGAACCCAAGGCTGATGGTGGCTCCCTGAAATGCTCACATTGGAGAAGAGGCAGGGTGGGTTCTGGTGCCTCTGCCTGGACCAGGAGGGGGAGGTGAATGTGGGAGTCCATCCCCAAAGCTGAGCCACCAGCATGTCCTGGTGGAGCAGCCACAGCGGCTCTGTGCCCTCGCAGCATTTGGGAAGGCTGCTCTGTACATAGCCTTCCCGTTACACGGGGTATTTAGATATTTACATATATAACTATATATACCGGGATGACAGAAGGGAAGACCACCACTTCTCTTGGGACTTTCAAAAAATCTAGCGACTCACTTTTAAGACTCTGGCTGCTGGGGTGACCATATCTAGGCTCACTCCCTTGCCCCAGTGGTAGCGGGAAAAAGAACCCACTTCAGTTGGATGGACCTGTTCCGAGCTCCAGCAACTTCCATTCACTGGGTGTGAAGACACACCTGGATTAACACAAAAGAATGTGGTGGACAAATCATCTCACTCTTATGTTACAATGTCAGTTCTCCAGGAGAGCTTGCAGAATTGCCTTTTTCAGCACCTCTCAAAGTTTACAAGGTTTTTGTGCAATAGGAATAGAAAGTATATTCTCTCCTTGAGGTGAAGATAGGTAACTGTTATGTGCAGGTTGTACAGGGACGCACTACTGGAGTTCTGTCCCCTGGCCAATCGTGGGCGGGCCTCTGTGGTGCTGCCCAGGGGCCTGGGGACAGACAGGCATGACCCCCTGCAATGATTTTCCAAGGCTCCTGATGCCTGAAATGCCACCAGTAACACTTCATTCCTGTTCTATCCACTCTTATTGGCAGAGGAAAGATGAACTGGCTGGTGACTCTTTAGTGTCTCATTGTATCACCAGATACTCTACAGCAAATGGAGAACCCAGGCCATGGTTCCTTCCTGGTCCTCACGTTTGTGATGGGTTGACCTTGGGGCTGGTCTCCAAGCAACTTTCGGTAAAGCACCCTTCAAAGAAGTCCTGGGGAGCTTTATGGCCCATCCCAGAGTCCCTGGCCCCACCCCGTGCCACTCTCTGCAATGGCAGAAGCCCCTTTCCCCACAGGGCCCCTGGGCAGCCAGCGGCCTCCCTTCCTTAGGGCTCCTTTGTAGTACAGTGAAACTGAGAGCTCCGCTGCTCATTCCTTTCAAGCATTGCGCTTCCCTGATTCTAAGCAGAAAACTCTGACGGTATAGAGATCTCGGGGAGCTGATCACAGAGCTCTCTGGTTGAAGTCTCTTGTCCCTAATCTTGTTGTAGTCACTTTTCTCCCTCCTTAGAATCCCTCCATTCTCTCTATAAATACATGCTATCCAACATTTGCTCACTGAGTTCCTATTTCCGTAGACACAACATAAATATCCTGGATGCAGAGAACAGGGACTATATTAATTACAAAATATATTAGTTTCTCTTCCCCTGTCTCTACTGAGGTCATGAATGAAACAAAACAAAAGCAAAGCCAAATCACACCTCACATGAAAACAAAATGCTCTTTGGACCAAGTGGAAACTGGCTCAGAATTATAATATTACTAAAACATCTACACTGAACTGAGACGGAAGCCATAAATATGAGGCACCTGATGAAAACACGGAACATTCCACACCAGCTGAAAATGCTCTCAGGCCCACAAGGCAGCAAGAGGGTGTTTATGGGCCACATCTGGGGATTCTGAGGCATAACTTGAGGTTGCTATTGTCCCCTTAATTTTGTGGCTTATGTACTATTCTGGCCTTTCCAATATCACATGCTGCCTAGTGGCCCTGAGCAAAGAAAGCTGGTCTTGCCTTGGGCCAGGAAACAAGAGGACAATTGCACCTGGAGCTCGCCTTCTGGGGAACAGTCCCTCCTTCCCAGACCCCTGGGATGTGTGTTCGGCAGGAAGGGGAGTCCAGGAGGAGGATGCTTTAAACCAAGGTGGTGCTGGAGGGGCTGGGCCTCAGCCGCAGAGACGGCAGGTCTCTCAGGATGAGGCTGGGCAGCCCCCACCCTCCTGGCCACCTGCCAGGGAAGGGGCCTCCCAGAGAGGTGGGTTTCCAGGGGATGTGTGTGCCTAATCTTCAGCTTGTCTCATTGGTGGTGGGAGCAGGGAAGGGTGATATGCAAATGGGACTGTGTGTGTGAGAGATACAGAGAGAGAAGCAGACGGTACCTGCCTGTGTTTATCTAATGGTTGATAACTTCAGGACAACCTGGCAAAGTTCAGATGCCCCATGAATTGCCAAGCTCTCTGTGACACTATGGTGTCCTTGCCCAAGGCAGTTATTTCCCCTTTTATCCTGGGGTCAGAAGGCTCGTATTAGAAAACACACATACGTTGAAATTAAAACTAGCAATAGAAGAGGTTTAAGGTTGGCTCAGAGATTCTGGGAGGAAATAATGTATGGTGCCCCAACTACAAGGCAGGCAGTGCATAACCTTAATGACGTGGGCTGGCCCTGGGTACTACCACATTCCCACAGATAAACTCAGAGAGCAGAGATCAGCAACTGGGTTTTAGGCACTGCTGAATCAGCTGCTTCACTGCCCTGGGAGCTCCTTCTAAGAGGTCTGCACCTCTTGGGAAGGGAGGATTCCCCCTCAGGCAGTGACAGCTCACCCCTGGACACACCCAGAAGGCCCTCCAGGATGGTCCTGGGTCGGTACCAGGTCGATGCTGGCTGCTCTCCATCCTCAAGGGAGTGCATACGAACCTTCCCTGGTATTTAAAAAAAAAAAAAAAAAAAAAGCAAATCGGAAAGAGTAAAGAGGTCCTTGCGGATTCTTCTCTTCCTGTGTAAAACCGAATGCTGGGCGCGAGAGGGGAATGTCTCAGTGGACACAGGGATGCAGCACGAGAAACACAACCACGATGAGGAGAGTCCTCCATGCATGCCACCACGTGCGGCCGCGGTCAGATGTAAACGGGCTGCTCCTGGGCCGTCAGCAGCCTGTACATGGCGGCTGGCATTGTCTTCATGTGAATCTGAGGGTAAAGAACACACTTTAGTGGGGGCTGAGGCTGGGGGCTGGCTGCATGGGCACTGCCCAGGGCCGGCGAGAGAGGCAGTGCTTCTCGCATAGAGGGCTTTGAAGATACCCCCCTACTGCCCAGCCACCACCAGGGACCTGACCCAGGGTGGCCTCCAGGAAGGGTGGAATCCACTGACTTTCTCAAAAGCTTAGGGGTGACAGAAATGAACAACAAAAACAAGGCAAGGCTTATTTCTCAGTCAAATGCTCTTGCTCTCACCAGACCCTACCCTTTTAAAAGCGAGAACTCTGAAAATGGAGGGAGAAGGGCTCAAGGCTTCTTAGGGCACCTGCCTCCCTCACCTCTCTTGGCAGATAAGGCAAGGGTGACAAATCAGCCCTAGAACAGCAGTGATGACTGACAGCAGTGATGGATGACAGCAGCGATTACTGACAGCAGCGATGACTGAAAGCAGCGGTGACTGACAGCAGTGATGACTGACAGTGCAATGGCTGACAGCAGTGATAAATGAATGACAGCAGTGATGACTGACAGCTGTGATGAATGACAGTAATGACGACTGACTGACAGCAGTGATAACTGACAGCAGTGATGAATGACAGCAGTGTTGACTGACAGCAGTGATAAATGAATGACAGCAGTGATGACTGACAGCAGTGACAAATGAATGACAGCAGTGATGACTGACAGTAGTGATGAATGACAGCAGTGATGACTGATAGCAGTGATAACTGACAGCAGTGATGAATGACAGCAGTGATGACTGACAGCAGTGATAACTGACAGCAGTGATGACTGACAGCAGTGATAAATGAATGACAGCAGTGATGACTGACAGCAGTGATAACTGACTGACAGCAGTGATGAATGACAGCAGTGATGACTGACAGCAGTGATGACTGACAGCAGTAATGACTGACTGACAGCAGTGATGACTGACAGCAGTGATGACTGACTGACAGCAGTGATGACTGACTGACAGCAGTGATGAATGACAGCAGTGATGACTGACAGCAGTAATGACTGACAGCAGTGATGACTGACTGACAGCAGTGATGACTGACTGACAGCAGTGATGACACGTCACGCCACACTGCACTGGGGTCACACCTCTGGAGGGCCACTTTGTTGATTTGACTTGAGTCTAAGAGTTAAATCTTTTAAATACATTTGGGGAGATTAACTGGGGAAAATGGAGGCAACTTAGGCAACCATACAGAAAAGCAACAGAAAGCTGAGTGTTGAAAAGAGAAGGTGAGCACATCAGATGAAAGAGAAGGCTGAGGGTGACCTGATTCCATTTCATGGAGAAGCTGCCGGACAACCGCTTGCAAATGTGTTTGGTCAGAGACAGATAGGTCTGCTCGTTGGGGAATGTTCAGGATTGGAAACTCAGGGAGCTTTCCCAGAAGGACTGCTCAGGGCCACAGTGGGCATATGAGGCAGGGGCACCAGACGCGGCCCTCAGCACCACCCCCAGCCCTGGATCTCTCCTACCTCCCCAACAGCATTGGAGAGAATGTGGACGATCTTCTCGTGGGGGGTGGCCACGACGCTCTGTCCATTGATTTCAATGATCCGGTGCCCCACACGGACGCCTCCTCTCTCAGCTATTCCCCCTCTCATGAGGCTGCAGATCTGCCAGAGTCAAAGGCTGTGTTACCCTCATGGCAGAGAGTGTGGCAGGGCTGGAAGGCCGTCTTTCCCGAAAGCCCCGCCCCCGCACTCTGCTCTTGGAGAAACTGACATGGTTAGGCTTTGGGCATTTAACTCTCTTAGTGTCTTTTCACAAAAGAATAGGTGCTGTTGGTCCACATGGCCACCTTGTTCATGTGGCTTGCGCAGAGACTGTAGCACATCACTGGTTTTTACAGCACACTGAATTCTACTTCTCATCCCAGCTGGGGCTGGGTAAAAAGGGCCATTTGGGCCTGTCGCAGAGTCGCCAGTGTTTTCAAACTGTTAGCCTGTGTGAGGCAGGTTAGTGTTAGTTCCCGCAGTCATGACTGGGACTCAAGCACTCAAGCACCGAAGTGTTTAATGCAGCAGATTGTTTTTAGGGTCACAATTGCCTGAGCCACCGTGGGGCTGGAACTCCACCTCTGTGTTCCAAAGTGTGGCTGGCTGGGAGGGAGAGGCTCCTTTAGAGCTTCCCAATTCAGCGGCCCCTGTTCAAACTCCCTTCCCACAGAAACGACAGTGAGGCTGGATTTTGTGATGGCACAGTCAGCCACCACAGTGACCCGAGGCTGCAGGCGGGGCTGATGGGCCCTCCACCCTCACCTCACACACACTGCAACATAACTTTTCCCAAGAGTAGGTCTGAATTTACTAAGTTGGCTTTTCATTCCAGACCATGCACCTTTATTTTAAGTGGATGCAGACAAGATTGCAAGTGACATCTGGCAGCAACATGCTGTGTCATTCTGTGAGTGTGTGGCCCAGTTGCTCTCTCAGCTAGTCTGGGGTCAAAACATGCCTTAGGTGTTTTCCCAATGGACCCACAGGTGTTAACAACTCCTTGTTCATATCCAAACTTTTAATACTATTTAACTATGAACAAAGCAAACAAGTACAAGTACAAACCAATGAAAAGATGATCTCAGAGCTAGACTGTAAAGAGTCAGCCTAGGTCCTCTCCTAATAGGTAAACTAGGCTACTCAGGTACGAAGAATGCAGGAAGTGGGGCTGGATATTTCAACTCCAAATGGGAAGTTCAAGGGTATTTCTAAACCTTAAAATGTATTTGGAATGATACTTTAATTATCTAGGACACTTTTTTTTTTTTTGGAGACAGAATCTTGCTCTGTCGCCTAGGCTGGAATACAGTGGCACAATCTCTGCTCACTGCAACCTTTGCCTCCCGGGTTCAGGTGATCCTCTTGCCTCACCCTCCTGAGTAACTGGGATTACAGGTGTCCGCCACCACACCTGGCTAATTTTTGTATTTTTAGTAGAGACTGGGTTTTGCCATGTTGGCCAGGCTGGTCTCGAACTCCTGGCCTTAAGTAATCCGTCTGGCTTCGCCTGAAGCCCAAGGTTTGAATGATCACTCAAACACCACACTGTGTGAATCCCAGTTGTGACTGTGGGAACTGAGCTGGCCCCTGCACTGCACAACCCCAGGCTTGGGAGTCAGCTGCTCTGCGGGGACTCTGTGCCGCCTGGGTGGACAGCCCAGAGGCGAGGAGGCTCTTGGAGGGTGCATCCCAAACTCTCAAGCTAGCAGCCAGGAGGACAGCCCTGCATGTCACAGAAATGCTGGGTTCTGGGCGGGAATCTCTGCTGAAGGGACTCTGTCCAGAGAGGGAGCTGAGCCTGCTTCATCCATCTTTCTTGATGGATTCCTTCAGGGAACAAACTGACTTTAAAAAAAAAAAAAAAAAAAAAAAAAAGAAAATCAAAGGCCCTGTAATACCAGCACTTTGGGAGACAGAGGCAGGCAGATCACGAGGTCAGGAGTTCAAGACCAGCCTGGCCAGTATGGTGAAACCCCATCTCTACTAAAAATACAAAAATTAGCTGGGCAGAGTGGCACATGCCTGTAGTCCCAGCTACTCAGGAGGCTGAGGCAGGAGAATCCCTTGAACCCAGGAGGCGGAGGTTGCAGTGAGCTGAGATAGTGCCACTGTACTCCATCTTGGATGACAGAGCAAGACTCCATCTCAATTAAAAAAAAAAAAAATCAAAGGCCATGCTACATTTTTATTTGTCAACATTGTGGAAAAGGATGTGGAAGGTGTTCTACTTACAATTCCGTTCTGGACACTGAAACCCAGCTGGTAGCGAAGGTCTGGTCTTCTGATTAACACGGTGGTGACCGGAGGACATCTCACAATATTCAGCTTGACTCGGGATTGATTCTTTAAGCCCTTAAACATGAATAAAGTACAGTGGGTATGGTGACCACTGAGGCAGACAGAATAAACAAAAGCAGGCAGCACCAAAGGCAAAAGAAGCCACACTGAGTTTTCCGTAGGACCCACTGCCTGCCTGCAGGCCTTCAGTGCCCAGGCTGGTACAGTCACTGCTCGGCTTCACCTACCCAGGGAAGATGCGACATGGTGCAGATGGAGCCCTTTCAGCCCATGCACAGATGGGGTTCCTGTGGGCAATGCCTTCCTTTTGGGAAGTGGACTAGGTTCAAGGGATCTGATCAAAGTACTTGCGCAACTATGAGGAAGTGTCAGATGTACTTTTTGACTTCAAAGATGAAGGAGGCACACTATTTCCCCCAGCCAGGAAAGACACGAGTGGGAAATGGATTTTCTTTCTGGAAGGCAAACTCTAGCAATGACTCCTCTTCTAACAAAGGACATCTAACTCACAGCAACTGGCCTGATTCATCATGGCTCTTTTCTCTGGTCTCTGATGCTCCTCTTTCCCCTTCTTCCTGCCAGTGAGAGATTTTACAGCTATCAACATTCCCACAGCAACCAGGGACTCCAATCAGTGTGTGCGTCCTTGGGAGAATGGGGAGGGTTGCAGGATGGGTGTTGATGGAGAAGGAAGGGGAAGAAATACGACTTGCAGACTATTGTTTCATGATCCCTGATGACACACCTCTCCCTCTAAATTAAAATGGAGCACAGAGGGAAAGCTGATCTTTGACTATAACAAGGGACTAGTTTCAGTGACTGTGTAGAAAGCTTCCACCTTGGTGTATCGCAGGCTCCTGCTCCTGTCCCCTGATCAGACTCACGCAGTGAGAGAAGCCCTGGTGTGCTCAGAAGCATCTTTAGAAAACCATCACAAAGCTACATTTGCCCTAAGCTGGGCAATGGGAAGGTTTGCTCCTGCAGGCCCGACCACTGACTTGTCAGCTTCATCCTAGAGGAGGGTGCTGAGCAAAAGGAACTCAGCTCTGAAACAAATGTCCATTTTCCAGTCTCCCCAGGGTGCCTGCTATGCCTCAACAAACTCCTGATTACCAGATGGGATAGAAGGAGTGACCAATAGCAGGTGCCTTCCCACCCTTTTCAAGTCATGGTATGCAGGAGAATCTTGTTTGCACGCTGGGGTAAACAGACCACACTGTTGTAGCTGGAAGCCCTGCAGTCCCTGGCCCTGCTGCAAGAGCTGAGGCAGCGCGGGTCAGAGCCCTCAGTGGGAAGCACCTGCCCGACTGGACTCCCATCTACACGGCCAGCTGTCTGGGAAACTGCTCAAGGTCAGGCCCAGGCCCATTCCTCCAAAGGGAACTGTAGGGTGGGTGGGAGGAGAGGTGGGTAACTTTTCCTCCAGGGGAGAACAGCTACCAGGGAATGAGGAGGCACTCAGGGAAAAGGCAAGCTCTGTTCTATCTAAGCCCACAGTATCGCCCAGAGACAGCATCTGCTCAGTTCACAAGTGGGTCCAGTTTGTGCCCGCTATGAGTGAAGTGGAAAGAGAACCTGGAAAGAACAGTAACAAATCCACAAAAAGCACGCATGAGGGGTGATTGTCTGCCTCTTATTCTATAAATAGAATTCTGCAAATTCCACAGCCACTACTGCTGTCACTCCTTGACCAGTCTACCAAATCTTTTTCAGTGCGAGGTCAGGACTTACATTGCACATTTTAAAGATGAAGACATAGACATGGAGCTTGCTTTGTCCAAGGGCTCTGTGGGGTCAGGACTGGAATGATGGATCCTTGCTCAGGCACCCTGCCTAGCAGAGGCGTGAAACTGGTGTTAGACAATTTCACTGCAAACAGAATCTGTAGCCAGAGTGCTTCTTGGAGTGGCAGAAAAGACCAACACCCCTTCTGTATCTGAGTTACAGAATATGCTTTAGATTGAGGGAGAGGCGGGGGCTATTTAGTCTCTGGTTATCCAGCTTTACCATGCTTGGCCAGCAGGTGTATACCAATGGCTCTTAAACCCCACACAGCAGCAGCAGCAGCAGCAGCCCCTGGCCACTTTTTAGAAGTGCAAATTCTGGGCTCTACCCAAGCCCCACTGAATCAGAAACCTAGGGGTGGGACCCAGGAATCTGTGGATGACAAGTCTCTGAGATGATTTGGGTGCACACTCAATTTGCGAACAACTGGTGTGGACCACTACTGCAGAACAATGAATGGCCTCATCTGCATCCAGGTGGCTTAATTTCTCCATGGATGATTACATCCAAAGATGTCACTTTACTAGTCACACCTGCAGCCAGTGTGCTCAGTGGGAGCAGGTGCTGGCAAGGGTGGGGTGAGGGTGACATCTTGTGGGAAATTTTGTTAGCCCAGTCACTATACAGCTGACCCGTGGTCAGTCATCTGCATGTCTGTGTCATGCAGGAACACCCCTAAGATCACTGCGCATCAAAATCTACCCTGATGATGAAACTAATGGAACCAAAATGACTGTAACTACCTGTCATTGGACACTCACTGTTGTCTGGCATTGACCTGGAAAGGACAGGAGCTGTCTCATTTAATGTGGTGGCCATAATTATTCTATAAATATATTATACAAGAGGAAACTGAGGCTCAGAGATATTAAATGACTCACTCACATTAACACACAGCAAGATTCAATCCTAGGTCTGTCTGCATTCAAAATGTGCAGTATTTCTACACCATAATGCCCCATATACACAACCAGAGAGGGTGTGTCTTTTGTGAATAAGGCTTGCTCCACAAAGATGACAGGGTCAGCCACAGAACAAATCTGCGTCCCCAAATTCCAGCCTTGAATTGGGGCCATCTTTTTAGTTCACTTTCCTATGTGGCAAGAGTTTTTTGGGGTTCCTGGTCCTCACAATTCCCCACCCCCTGGCTTCCCCACTGATGTGGTTCTAGTTTCTGCTCCTAATGTGTGAATCTTGATGGAACTCAATTTCCCCGCTGTTAGCGTCTGCTCCCCTAGTGCTCTGAATTCCTCTGCTTTCTGCAGGACTTGAGCCTCCCCATGGCTGTCACTCTGCTTGTGGCCTCCATGTACCATGCGACTTGGCATTCACACTCATGCGGCATCTCCCGGTGGTTTTGGAACATCTCCGGGGAACTGTTCTGGTTAAGGAAATGATTCCAAAGCACAGCAATGGAATGAGTGTGATTCTCCCTGGGGAAATGAACATCTGCAAAGGATCCAGGCCTTCCATATGCAGCAGGTCCCATCGTCCCCATCAACAAAGGGAGATGCTCTGGCCTTCCGCTCCTATAGACAGGACCAGCACAGCCTGGTGAAGAGGACTCCCCTGGTGTCAGAAGACCTGAACTCAAGTTTTGTTTCTGCTACCCCAAGCAGTGGGATCTGAAGCCCTTTGCTCACCCTTCTCCCACCTCAATTTCCTCATCTTCCCAACAAATGGTAAAGCTCACTAACGTCTCTTGCAGTTCTGATTTCAATGACTGCACCCCCTTTAATGTGTTTATTCCTAAATGCCTTTGTCTGCAACATCAAATCTCAACCATTATGCTTAAACCTATTCCTGAAATTTAAAGTGGGCTTCTTTTGCAGGGCTGGGAGGTATGATGGAGAGCAGCTCAGACATTCATGCAGACATTTTTATCTGCTTTGAGTGCTTACTCCTTCCCACCCACTTAATCAATATTTACGAATCACTTGTCACGTGCCAAGAAATGTGTTAGGCACTGGAGATTCAGGGAAGTGCACCCTTTCCGGGGGGGACAAGAGACATTATCGGTACTAAGCACAGGGCTGTGAGCCCAGAGGGGGCTTGAGTCCCTTCACCCTTTTCTTTCTCTCTAATCACAAACTAGGAGACCAGGAATTTGTGGGAAAGAAGAGAGATGAATGATGAAGACAGGAGCATGCTGTTGGAATCTCAACCCTTCAGGCAAAGCCACCTGCTTTAAATGTTTACACCTGTTAACCACTGATATTATTTAGGTACGCTTGTGTGATACAGAAAATGTTACCCAACATACCCAAAAGCAAGAGAATGACTTTATCTTCTCAATGTTGCCTAAAAAATTCACACTGCTCTGGTGGGTTCTTTCCTTCTCTGTGAATTGATGTAAGACGCCTGATCTGTCCCTCAGTGAAAGATTTTCTAGATTGGGGAAAATGTGTTGCAAGATGAGGCTTAAGAGAAATAGCAATTGGAAATAACCAGACCATGCATTTGCTCTGCTGTTCCTAATCAGTGTTTCATGTTGGGTCCCATTAACTTAGATTTCTGAGCTGCCATATTATTGGAGGTGCCAATTAAATAAAGGGTCATTTGGTCCCCATGACAACAGTGGAACGGTACAGCAAATTAAGAAATCTGGTGGGAGGGGAAGGCCAAAGAAGAGGGGCGAAGAGAGAAAAGAGAAGCCAGAATGGTCTCTATAGCAACGGGAGAGCGGAACCATGACGCTCCTGGGGAAGCAAGGGAAGCTGTGCGCTATTCTAAAACAGAGCAAAAACCCAGAGGGCAGGACCACAGAGGCAAAGGCCCAGAAAAAGGCAGCCTGTAAAATGTTCCACCCACCAATAAGTATGCCTTGGGAATTAATTATGACCCAAAAAATAAGAGGTAGGAAGAGGAAGGCAAGTCAATACCTATAATTCTACTCTAGAAATCTATTTCCTCTAATCTGGGGGGAAAATGGTCAACCAGTATTGAAGAGGCCAGATGCAGAATGCACACTTTGGACCCCTGTTCCAGAAAGTGTGGCCTGCAGACTGGTGATGCCATCACCCCCACAGAGCCTGCTGAAAACGCAGAATCCCACCCTACACCTGCTGAATCAGACCTGCAGTCTAACAAGATCCCCAGGTGATTCCAATCAGTTTGAGAAGCACTGATTCATCAGGATGAGAGTTGCTTGTCAAAGTCACTGCAAAGAGCATGAACATACACTGAAACAAATTTGAACACAGCCTTGAAGCGGCCCGGACGCTGCTCTGCAGTGGCCCGAGGGGTAGGGGTAGGGCAGTGCGCACATCTGTCCAGGTGCAGGCAAAAAGGAGTGTGTTTTCTAGAGAATTTTAAAAATGTGATAGAACCCACTGAAGTCAGTCTGTATTTGGTACTGGCAATTCTGGCTGTTATCAGTGGTTACACCTCCCACCAGCCAGGGTGGTCCACGGACGGACCATCACATCTCCCTATTCAACAAGCGGCACACTGTGGTGGGGAGGAAGTTCAGCTGTGTTCTAATCAGGGTCTGCCCTGTTAAGTACTTCTTCACTATGGGCGGCCATGAAGGCACTGCTTTCCTTACTCTTCATCTTCATCAGTTACATCTCTTTCATCACCACTCGGCCTTTTAATTTTCTGGTTCTATAGAGACTACATTTATAGACATCAAAGTTCAGCTCCTCAAACAATCCGTTTCCTCTTAGGAAACCGTGCAGACAGAGCTCCGTCTGTACTCCAGCAAGCTTTGCTTCCACATTGATGCTGTGATCCCACGGCAGCTGCAGAGGGAGTCAGGCCGCCCTCACAGCCTCACTGCTTCCCTCCTCTGGTCCCCGCGCAGATGAGACGGGAGGGATGCTCAGGAGGGTGGGGACTCACTGGCCAGCTGGGGGCCCTGAGCAAGTCTTCTGTGCGTTTAGAGTCTCCGATGGCCCATGTGTGCACCTAGCATCTGCTGTCCCCCTTGTGGGCTGTCCTGAGGAGGAAGGGAGGTGACTCCAGGCCATGAGCTGGAGTCTTGCAGGCCTCAGGAAGCCCAGCTTGTTCTTGCCCAGGCCCCATCCCTACCTTTACTTAAGTCCTCCCCTTGTCTGAGTCTGTTCTTAGTCTGCCATGACAAAGTACCACAGACTAGGTGGCTTATAAACAACAGACATTTCTCTCTCACAGTTCTGGAGGCTGGAAGTCCGAGATCAGTGTACCAGCACTGTCAGGGTCTGGCGAGGTCCCCTTCTGAGTTGCAGATGGCCAACTTCTAGTATCTTCAAATAGCAAAAGAGAGCTTGCTGGGGTCCCTTTTTTAAGGGCACTAATCCCAACCATGAGGGCTCCACCCTCATGCTGATCACTTCCTAAAGGCCCTACCTCCAAATAGTATCACATTGGGATTAGGGTTTCAATATGTATTTGGAGGGAACACAAATATTATTCAATACTTAACCCCCCATCCCCTCTCCTCCTCCCCAACCCTTCTAGACCCAGACCAGCTCCCCACAAACCGTCCCTGACCAGCTTCCCTCTCTCATCGATTTGTCTCTCTTGCTTCTGAACTCCTACACCGCCCAGGCAGAGTTTCTCAACTTCATTTGGGGCTGGATAACCCTGTGCTATGGGGCTGTGCTGTGCACCGTAGGATGTTTGATAGCATCCCTGGCCTCTACCCACTGGATGCTGGCAGCACCTTCTCCTCCCCAGTGGTGACAACCCAGTCTCCATACATTTTGGAGGCTGCAAGATCACCCCTGGCTGAGAAGTACCACCTCAGGGTCTGGCTTGGGCCTAGCATTTCACCTGACACCCTCCCTGGGATGAGTCTGTATTGGAGGCTTATCCTCCAATCCTTAACCATGGGTGATTACATCATCTTGCTGTGCCTCAGCTTCCTAGCTTGTACAATGGGTGCAACAATAGTACCTGCCCACAGAATGCTGCCCCGAAGGCTCAGCAAGTCAGTCCACACATATCTCAGAGCACACAGCGCTCAGAGCACCCAGAGCACAGACACACAGCACTGAGCACTGCAAGCCATAAGTCCTTTCACTTCTCCTCAAACTGATCAAGCTCCCTGGGGGCAGGGACTGTCTCCATGGGATCCCTGGGTCCCACAGCCCCTCAGCAGTTTTCATGCCTGCACCCAAGGTGTTTAATCAGCAACTTGCTCACTGGCAGGAGCGACTTGTGGTCCTGCCTCCCCAGCCCCACCTCCCGCTTGCCTCTCCATGTGATCACAGCAACACCAGACCAGCCTTTCCAGGCCAGGCTCAGACCCCATCTCTCCCTGACTCAACACTGGCTCCTGTCCATCAATTCAAGCAGAAACTTCCAAAGGCCACTTCCCTTTCTGCTACTGACCTAGGTTTTACTCCTTCAAGGTCAACTTTAAAATCACATAAAATGGGCTGTCTAATCACTCATAGCCTCTCACCTTTGCTCTTAGGGCCGCAGAGCCCTTGCACATCTCTAATTATCCTCCACATGCATACTGTCAAGCCAGCTTCCCCAGAGCACGGCTCTGCCTCACAGAGGCCCAATTAAACCTGTCTGAATGAATATCCATGTTCAAAGTTGATTCTCTAATCTTCTCTTTAATGTGTATTAAGCAAGAGGTAGAATTCATTTAAGTGTAAGATATAAGAAAAAGAAATTAGAGGAGGCCAAAGAGGACTATTTCTTTCCAGATGTGATTATCTTACGTGGAATTAGAATTTAATCCATTTCATTAAAAACAAAAAGGCACCATCCATGTGTCCTATACACTCACCTTAACCTCCCATCCCCACCCGCTCAGCCGAGGATGCTAGCTTTGTGATTTTTCTTTTGCTCACAATGACTATTTGCATGCATTCATCCCTTTCCTTCTCCTTCTCCCTCTCTCACACATGCACATATGTACACAGCTACATCCTAGCTAAGTCTTTCAGGAAACCTCTGCAGGACCAAAAAAAAGTTGTGGAATCTCAGTCTACCTACAGTACCACAGCACTTGGTGCAGAGCTACTGGGGTCTACAGATGCTGTCATGGAGGAGGGACATCCCAGTCACACTGGCCAGGCAATCGGCAAGTTCCAATGTGCTCAAAAGACTCCACATGAATGCTTCATGTCTAAAGAGAGTCTCATTTCTTCTCAAGTATTCACATTTAATTTTCCTTCCAATAGCTCTTCTTAGCCTTATAAGCATCAGTTCAGGTTGAGCAGGAAGGATGCTCAGGTATGAAAAAGCTTCCATGGACTGGAAGAGAGTTTCCTTCTTCTTCTGGCAACGAGCACATGTGAGTTGCTTTACCTGGGGTCTGAGGGAGGACAAACTCACCTGCATCATAGTCAGGGCCACTGGGAAGGAAAAAGTGCTCAGATTTGAAGCATTTCTGTGATTTTTTGACAGGGATGGTAAATCGTGCCAAGTGTATCTGGCTGACTATAAGTGATTGTCTGGATTCCCAAGCTGAGGCTTTCTCTGTTGAGGCTGAGTCTGGGCTTCGTGGGAGAGTGCTGTGATTGGCTAGTGATGCCTGTGAGGGACATGCTGCTATTAGAAAGTAGTGTTATGTGAACCAAATACGCTTCCCCTGATCTAAATTGATTTCAGGGAAGAATCTGTAAACAGTAACTTGATGGTAAGCTTCCTGAGTGCAGGTCCACGCCTTTTGTGTTTATGTCTTCCTTGGCGCCTGACACTTCGAATATGTTCATATACATTAATGACTGGATGGGGGTCACACTTCACATCACTTGAGGTTTACCACAGCAGCTAATTTTTCCCATATTCAGGTACCTTAATAATGCTCTGGCAGGTGGATAGAGGCAGGCCCACCAGGCTGGTGCCATTAATGGACATGATCTGGTCACCGATATTCAGCTTCCCAGATTTCTCTGCAGGGCCACCATGCATCATATTGGCAATGATCACGGTGGGGAGGATGGATCCCCAGCCAGACTCCACAATCACCACACCTAGGATTTCTCCTTTCTGCTTCTCTATGAAAACCTGGAAGGAGAAAAACATTTAGAAATCCTACATCAGCAACCATCTGGGGTAGGCAGAAATCAAAGCCTCTCCCCCATTCCTGTCTCGCCTAAAGAGACACTTCCCTGGGGGGAAGACACTTCCCAGATGAGTTCCTGTCTTCTCAGCATTCCGCACATTTGGAATTTTTAAGAAATGAATTCACACAGGTCTACACTCTTTTGTAATTCACTCTTGTTTCACATAAACAAACTTGCCTCATCACACAACCACAAGGACCACCAGTTTTTTTTTTTTTTTTTTTCAATTTCTTCAGTCCTGTCCTCAGTGGCAGGGGAAGAGGCTCTGTGGGTGGGTGGTGTGTTACGGTTTCTAGAAATAGCTTTTCAAATTCCATGCGCAGGTTCCCCCTCCCACAGTGCTTCCCCAATTCGCTCCGACATTTAAGTTTCTTGAGTTAAAAATAAATAAACACACAGAAACACTTCTCTGCAAGGAGAAAAAGTTGAGAAAAAAGAAAAAAAACGTGATGCTGAAGTTATCACAACCAAAGGTTGGGTGTGCACTCAGGAAGTGCATATCCTGGATACACAGATTTTTCACAACCTTTACTGGCACGGCAGAGAAGACAGGAGTTGATGTTGGATACTTGCACTCTGGGGAGGCCTGCAGAGATGCCACTAAAAGGTACTGCACCTCTTGGAAGCATCCAACAAAGAGTATGTATGTGTATTTTTGGGGGACTTGACAAAGTCCCCTTCACAAGTTGATGTCCGCTTCCCCCAGTTGCTGAAGTTCACAGTCAGCCCCTTCCCTGGAGAACTGTCCTTAGCTGAATGGGAGACACCTTCTGTTAAGGTTGAATTGTATCCCCCCAAAATTTGTATGTTGACTTCCCAACCCCCAGTGCCTTAGACTTAGATTGTGACTATTTGGAGATAAGGTCTTAACAGAGGTAACCAATTTTAAATGAGGTGATTAATATGGGCTCTAATCCAATATGCTGGTGTCCTTAAGTAAGAAGAGGAATGGTTGTCTGTCACGGGTATCAAAAAAAGAAGAGGAAATTTGAACATAGAGACATGCATGGAGAAAGGATGATGTGAAGACACAGGATGAAGACAGCCATCTACAAGCCAAAGAGAGAGGCTTCGAACAGATTCTTCTCTTATGGCCCTCAGAAGGAACCAACACTACCAACATTTTGCTTTTGGTCTTCTGGCTGCAAGGTCTGTGAGACAATAGGTTTCTGTTGTTGAAGCCACCCAGTCCATGGTACTTTGTGACAGAAGCCCTAGTGAATTCATACACCCCCTGTCCAGCTTTGGCCAATGACCGGCGTGGGGTACAAAGGCTTGCCAGCTCCCTTGCTCCAAGGTGAGACAAATCTGTCCTGCAATCTGAGCCATGGAGCTTCCCTCCGGGTCAGAAGGAAGCTCCTTGCAGAAAGGTGGGACACCCTTCCTTGGTGTCCCACCACCAAGCTTCCCACATCCCTTCTGTTCTGAGGTACTTTCCCAACAAACCTCCGTGACAAGAATCCCTGCCTCAGGCTCTGCTTCTGGGGAATCTGACCTAAGACACCTGACAGACCCCAGTGGATAAAACGATCACTTTCTCATTAAAAGTTCTTTTTACCTATGGGATCAAGTCCAAACCCCTCAGCTGGACTTGCAGGCCCTCCAGTCCTGACCCAGACCTCAGGCCCATCTATCTCCTTTCCTGTGCCCATCTCCTGCTCTAGCCAAACCATACTTCCCCATTCCCCAGACAAATGTGGAACTTTCTGACCTCCAGGCTTCCAACCATTCCATAGACCCTACCCTCGGCTTGCCCCTACAATCCCCAGATCGCCAGACCAGCTCGGATAGCCTCGTCTTCCTACAGGCACTCTTGAAGAGCTCAGTCTGAAACCACAGGTCATCCCCAGAGGACCACAGCATCTCTTGTCTGAAACCTGAGATCTTCTCTGTTTGTCCAAGTGTAGTTGGTTTTGATTAGTGCCTGTACCTGGCACCATCACTTAACTTTTTCAGTGCCCTTAACTAGATTGCAGGGTTTGTACAGGCAGAGTTCAGGTCCTATCTGCCTCTGGGACCCACCCCAAACTTAGCTCAGGATGACCAGGAGCAGAGGATGTGCTGCCTCTCTGTTTATACACAATAGCATTTCATGACAGGGCCCCAGAGCGGGGAGCGAGAGATGGGTGTGAGCGACTTCACGATGTCCTGCCAATACTGCACTCTTCACCCTTGATCTGCCTTCACTTCCGCGGCAGGGTGCCCCCCTTTCCAGGCCCCTACCCAGCTGACCCAGCCTGGAGAACAGCTTCAGGAAAGTACCCACATCTTTACAGTTTTCCGACTTGGAGAAGTGAATCAGGTCATCGTTGTACATGTCCTGGGTATTGAGCAGGTCACTATACTCCTTCTGGCTGAGATCTTCGGGGTTAATCCCATTGGCCCTGAGGAATTCCTGGTATGCCACGCTAAATGCCTGTCCGATGGACTGTGCAATCAGCTGAGCCTGGAACAGCAGCCAGAGAGGAAAGATGGTCAGCAGAGCAGTGCATCTGGTGAGCAGCCTGGCACGCTTCCCACCTGAACAATGGCCCTCCTGGAGTTTGAAGAAGCCCTAGATATCACACCTGCTGGGCCAGTGGCTCTACATGGGGCTACCAGTGCCCACCAGGGGCCGTTTTCAGAACGACTGGGGATGTTTTTGATTATGATGATGATCATAAGGGAGCTACCGGCATTCAGCAGACAGGAGTCAGAGATGCTGAATATCCTGCCATGCAAAAAACAGCTTGATACAGTGATGAGTCATTCTATACCCTGCATCATCTTCACAGATCCCACTGGACATTCATGAGCATGCAATACTTGTTTACAGTTATCTGAGTCCAGGATTCAACTCCAATTTATACATAAACACAAAGACTTTGTGTGACTCTAATACACATCGAACATTTCAAGAATAATACCGTGTGAATTGAGAGAAGATGTTATTTTGCTTCATTCAGTACTTCACCAGAAGGAAGCTTCATGACTTCGAAAAATCATCAACATCAGTGCTGTTGTGGTATCTGTGCTGCTGATAAATCACATACCTATCAACCTGCACATGTGCTGTTGTGCATGGTGATTCTGCACATGCTTGTAGACACATACATGTTATTTAGCCCTCAATTTGAAATGTCAACTAGGAAGTGTTTACGATATCCCACTGCACACTGTGTTCTGCTACATTCAAGCTTAATCAGGTAGGTATAAGCATCTTGACTACCTCATTATGCCTTTCAGAATGGTTGCGCCAGAGCATTTATTAATATATATTGTAATATGGTTTTATTTTAGCTTGCTTTCCACTTATCTTTCCTTTATATTACATTTATGGCCACAATTTGATTATTCTGTGAAAGATTTTTCAATAGGGGAGGTTATATTAGCTATGAATTTCATTTCAGGATAGTAATGGGTCATTAATAAAATATTTATTGTAGAAAGGGAGTGTTGGATCTAACAGAGTTGAGAACTCTGACTGGTCCAACCCTGTGTTTTCCAGTTGAGGAGATGGAGGCCCAGAGACACAAAGGAACCTCTCAAGGTCACACAGCTTACAGGAGGTGGCACTGACTTCTGCACTGGGCTTTGATAGCTTTTCCCTGCATTAATTAAGCAACATTATTAATCCAGACAGCCAAGAGCGACTGAACACTTCTCATGTGGCTATGCTGCAGTAAATGCTATACAAGGTATATGCTATGAAAAGTAAATGCCATACAAGGACCATCACTGAATCTGCATATCAATTCTATGACAGCTATTAGTATGACTGGTCCACAATCTTTCACTTGGAATGCAAGAGGCTCTGTTTCAGAATTCAAAACTTTTCCAATTTTAGAAAGGTAGCAGGGTGCAAATACTGGACATTGTGCTATAACCTCCCTTAGGGTCTGGGGAAGTACACAGAGCACAGTAACATTTCTGTGGCAAAATGTGTAAGATTCATGGTAAGCTAAACAAATCCTATAAATGGCCTCCCGGCAGGCAAGGCAGGTTTATCAGTCACCTGACTGCAAAAATCCCTTTAGTTTCTCAGAGCTTTCTAGACTTTGGAACTATGGATCTGTATTAGTGTCCCCATTGGGTAGACCAGGATATGGAGGTTGAGGGGTTAAACTGCACACTTCCTGAGAAGGGGCTGGGGGCTGAATCCAGAGCCCATCCTCCTGCCCACCACACTGGACAGCTTCTCTGTGAATTCTGATGGGCAGAAAAACAAAGCCAAACCAGAACATCTCTAGAGCAGTGTTTTAAAAACACAATTCTAACCTCCACTCCTCTTTCCCCACCTTTCCTAAATGTTGGTAAAAGCACCTTATTAACAGCAAAACAGCAACTTTCCATGTGGTTGGCTATGGGAAAAGAAATACTGAATTTTTCTCACTGTGAGAATCTGGTGACTTTACAAGTCACATCAAGAACTACCACCGTCTACCTATTGTAAAACCGGAAGGAGTAAGGCATTGCTTTCGGCATCAGAGAGGTGCATGTAGACAAACTGAAAAATATATACCTGGGAATGTGACCAGTTGACTTCCCGATCACCATTAGCGGATGCCCCTGGTGAATGCACTGGCTACTGGGATTTATGGACCACTAGCCATGTGCCACACATCAGGCTTTAACTGCAGTATCTATGAGAGTGTCGCAGCAGCCTGGCGAGGGAGGCACTATCGTCCTGCAGAAGAGGAGCCTCAGGCTTAGTGGCTGCACAGCTTGGATGAGGAAGGACTCAAGCCCAGCTTGCCCAGTTCTGGAGCCAGCACACTCTGGCCCTGCTCTAGTGAAAGCAAAGGGGTAAGGTTCCAGGTCCACTCTTGCTTACCTCTTGCTTCTCCATTCTTTCCTTTCTTCTCCTTCCCAAGGAGAAGAAACCCCTCCCTAAGAGCTCCAGCCAGATGGAGGTGGCGGTGGGGCCCACAGGGATCCTCGATCCTTGTAACTCTGTCTTTTCACTGGCCCGCAGGACGCAGGAGGCTTAAAAGTCCAAATTTTCACTCTTTTGGAACTTTCTGAGAACCTCCTAAAATTCATTTTCCCCCTGTTTGCATGTTGGCCTCAGTTTTACAGGAACAGCAGGGAGAATGGCAGGCAGAGGCATTTCAAGCTCTCTGTCCTCCCAGTGACCTTGTCCTGTGGCTGCTTTCTAGAGAACAAGACCAGTAAAGGATGGTGACAGTAAGTGTCGGCATCTCCTCTCTGTGCCCACAGCCCCGACAGCTCTGGTTCCCTGGAGAAAAAAGCAGGATGGCTGCTGACACCTAACTTCCGAGAGGAAGGCAATTTCTGCAGCTAGATGAATGCTGTACTGGAGAAGAATGGCCTCTTTGAAGGAACCAAGGCTACAAGACGCCATCTTCTCTTCACAGATCAGGACTCTGTGCTCCATGCGAGAAACAGAGCTTATTCCTCTGCGTCAGGAGGAAACATGAGCACAGTCAAAAGCAACGGTCCTCAGGCGGTGGGTGAGTTTTCTGCTGTTAAAGATTACTATGGGGCTGTGGCCTCCCCTGGGAGGCAGCTTCTGAGGCCCAGATGGCGAGGGGAAGTAGGGGAGCACCTAGGAGCAGCTCAGGTGCTAATACAGTTTGCAGCCTGGTGGCCTCACTAGCAGCTTGGGTTACAACCCTGAAAGCAGGCCAAATGAAAAAATGGCTTCTGTTGTAAACAAATTTTCTCTGTTGACCACATCACCCAGAGAAATGGAGCTTAGGAATCACTGACTTTGCGCCAGGAAGAGGAGCTGGTTTTCCTAAGGACTGGGGTGGGCAGTGCTGTTGTCTGCTGGGGAGGGACAGGGATGCTAACTTTCCTGTAGCCCAGAGGATGGTCCTGGACCACAAAGAACTGTCCTCCCAAAATGCCCTCATGCTTGGGCAGACCTGCTCAAACCCCTACAGGGGGGCCAAATTCTTCCTACTCTTCACCTCATCCCAAAGTCTCTAATAACTCGGCCTCCTTTCCCTTCCTCAAAGGGAAACGCAGCTAGCCCCTGACTCAGGGCCTTCACATCTGCTCCTTCCTCATTCTCACTTTATTCAGGTCTCTGCTCCAAGGTCACCTCCTCAAGCGAGGGCTTTGTTGATCACCCTACCTGACACAGCCCCTGTCCCTCCATCCCTTGACCCTGTTTTATTTGTCTGTGAAGCACTCCCCACTACCCAATTTTACATTAAGTATATTTACCTATTGATTTTCTGTCTCCTTTCAGCCCTTGCGATGAGTACCCTGTCTGTTTTATTCAGACTTGTATCTCTAGTGCTGGAACAGTGCCTGACACACAGTATGTGCACAGTAAATACATGTTTCATGTGTGATGAATTAGACTGAATCAGGTTCTGAAAAGTCAAGAGAACCTAACCCAGAAGGAGATCAAAGGAAGCAACCCTTACATCCTCAGACTCGAAGACGTGGCAGATCATCTTGTACTGCCTTTTCCCATCCTGGGATGGGTGGGAGGCTTCCACGTTCTCCTGGGAGTTGGAACGAGGCATCCGCCGGCGGGCCATCAGCACAACGATGTTCCCAATGTCCGCAATGTAGGAAATGGTCCTCAGAGGGTGGTCCATCATTGTCTCCTGGAGGTAGGAGGAGAGGGCAGGTAAGTCCAGCTTGGCATCTAATGACCCAAGAGAGCGCCTGCCACCCCATAGCCAGTCAAGTATGTTCACATGCAGGGTGGGCTCCCCGGCTCACTGCAAAGCCCATGGTGAGGGATTAATGAATCCCCACCCAGGCCTGAGGGCATTTCCCTTGGCTAACCAAGAGCAGGAAATGATCTGTGGCAGGTGAAAAGAAATAAGAAATTCCAAACAGTAGAATCTCTTGTGGGGAAGTTAAAAAAAAAAAAAAGACAAAAAAAAAAAAATCAAAATGGCATGGCTGTTTCTGTTTTTGTGTGCAGGAGTGTATGAATGATTTTAAACCCAATTTCTTAAAAGACAAATGTGTCCACATTAATGAATCCTCTGATTAAAATTTCTGAAAATGCTAAACGTCATCCATGTCTTAGGGGCGTTTTTGGGCTTTAAGAAAGCAATCCCAAACCCCATCCAGCAGCAGGCACTGTGAACACCACCTTCTAGCTCACTGGGGCCCAGCATCTGGGGACAGCCGCTCTACCGACACATGCATCTCTGAGTTACGATGCCACTAAGCTTCCCCCTGGGAAAGGTGGAAGCCAGCTGATACCTGTGTGTCAGCGTTCAGCACTTTGATTCTCTGGGTAGAAATGAAGAGATCCACCTCAGTCATTGGCTGAGATTCGCCTTCAGGAGCCTGAGAAGAAAAAATGCACCAAGAGAAAGTTTGACCACACTGCCCTGACCCAGATGCAGAAGGAGTCAGGTTAGCTCACACACAGGCACCAAGACACAGTTACCAGAACAGCAATACAGACTCTAGGCTTAAACTGCCAAAGCTGAAGGTACCACACAGAGGATGGACACATGGACAAGAGTTAGCACCTTTAGGTTACAGGGAAAAACGCAGAATCCCCTTTTCTTCCTCCCCTATAGAAGCAGTAACTCACTGCAGTAGATTTCACTCTTTGAACGATGATGGCAAGTGGCGCTCTCTGTAAGGGTTTTGGAGCCCAACAGATTGAAGAAATGGGGCAAAAAACTCGTACCAAAAGACCTTGGGGAAGTCGCTTAGAATTTGCCTCTGCTTGAGCCGATGGAAGACAAGGTTCATAGCAGCTGCAAATGAAGCCATTTGGATGCAGTTCTGGTAAGAGGGTCTTTACATTTTACACACCACCCCAGCAACACAGAAGCAGTCCTGAAGCCACCCCATTAAGAAAGAGCCCCAATGCCTCAACGTCCCAGGAGTAGTAGTTCATAAGCACCTAGAAGCTCCACAACCAAAAAGCGCAGTCTGGTTCATTTAGGGCTTAACTCTGTACATGTGTGGTTATTAGCGAGTTTTCTTTTTTGCATCCAGCAATCTGACAAATCCACAAATCAAGCATAACTACAATCGAACAGACTCAAGTCCCTGCCACATCGATGCTCCTGAATGGTTGGAACTTCCATACTACTATACGATTCATTTAGCATCTCCAATCTGCTCCCTGTCGTTCCTCTGAAGTGAAATGACTAATGAGCAACAGAAAACGGCCACCTTCGGCAACTGAGTTTTGAGAAATGCTGGCTTATGGGGCGGTTCAAAAAGAAATCTGAACAAAAACTTGCTGGATGCAGAAAACAAAAACACGAAAATATAAAAAGGTAAAACAGAAACGAATGAAAAGAACAGGCATAACACCAAGCTGATGAAGTTGTTTGTACTGCACCTTCTTCCTGCTTTTGGCTAATTTCTGGGCCATCTGCTTAGCATGGAACAAACAGAGACAGGAGAATAGTTAGAAAGAATTTGCAGAGACTCAAAGTCAAAAAGGGAATTGACAAACTAATACTGAATAGTGGCATAAAGCGTTTCTGTGGGAAGAGGACTGGCTTTTAAAAATCCCAGTCTAAAGATAATCAATGTCGTAATTCAGAATTTAGTATGTGGGAAGTGGTGAAGTGAGACAAAGGAAATGTGTTGGGTGCTTCTTATACTTAATTGCGATTGATCTTTCCAAAGAACCAAGTTTTGGCTCTGTTAATTTTCTTTATTATAGGCCTGGTTTTCTATTTCACTGATTTCAGCATAGACCTTTATTTCCTTCTACTTTCTTTGGGTTTAATTTGCTGACTTCTCAGTTTCCTGAGATAAAAACTTAAATTATGGCTTTTCAAACTTTATTCTGATATTCAAAGCTATGAATCTCCCTCTAAGCATTGCTTTGGATGTATTCCACAAATTTTTGTGTGTTTCAACTTAATCATTATTCCATTAATTTTTTTTTCAAATTTCCACTACAATTTCTTCTTAGAACCTTGGATTATTTAGAATTGTATTATTAATTTTGATACATTTGGGGATTTTCTAGTTATTTTTTATTTATTATTATTATTTTTTGAGATGGAGTTTTGTTCTTGTTGCCCAGGCTGGAGTGCAATGGCGTGATCTTGGCTCACCGCAACCTCCGCCTCCCAGGATCAAGAGATTCTACTGCCTCAGCCTCCCGAGTAGCTGGGATTACAGGCATGCACCACCACACCTGGTTAATTTTTGTATTTTTTAGTAGAGATGGGGCTTCTCCATGTTGGCCAGCCTGGTCTCAAATTCCTGACCTCAGGTGATCCACCTGCCTCGGCCTCCCCAAGTGCTGGGATTACAGGTGTGAGCCACCGCGCCCGGCCTCTAGTTATCTTTTTCTATTGATTTTGGAATTAATTCCACTGTGGTCAGAGAACACAGTCTGTATGTCAATCTTTTGAAATATGCTGAGGCTTAGTTGTATGTTCCAGTACATGACTGACTTTGATGGATGTGCCATGTGGACTTTAACATACGCATTCTGTAGTTGTTGGGGACAGGGTTCCATCAATGACAATTAGGTCAATTAAGTTGGTTCAGAGTATTGTTCAAACCTTCTATGTACTTGCTGGTTCTTTAATCTGCTTGTTCCATCATTTATTGAGTGTGTCAAAACCTCCAGCTGTTATGTGGATTTATCTGTGTATCCTGATTCCGTCAATCTTTACTTTATCTTACAGCTATGTTATAAGGCACGCACATATGTAGGATGGTATGCCTGCTTGATACATTGATCCTTTCATTGTTCTCCCTCTTTAGCTCTAGTAATACTTCTTGCCTTAAATTTGTGTAATATTAATGTAGTTTACATCTAACTAAAAATGGATGTACCATACTCCCTTTTGCTCACAATTAAAAGACAGCATAGTTGATAAAAGCAGAGAGTGGGGCTGGATTGTCCAAAACCAAGTCCTGGCTCTGCCATTTACTAGCTGTGTGACTTTGAGGCAAGCCACTGAACATCTCTGTGCCTCAGTTTCTTCATCTGTAAAATGAAGATAAAAATAGTATCTACCTCACAGGGCTGTTTTGAGGACAAAATGAATACATGCAAAGCTCTTCAGTGCCTTGTACATTCTAAGCACTATATTTGTGTTTGCTGTTATATGATTATAATTGACCTAGATCATGATGAAATTTCTTGCCTTTTGCTAAGGCTTGCTATTTATACAGATCTTCTACAAATAATGGTGAGTCCATGGCCAAACTGCAGATGCTGTTGTGGTAATGGGAGTGGGGTGTAGGAAGAACTGCTCTCTCATATTCCTGGGTACTCACCTGGTAGAAAAGCTCCTCTGCTCTCAGCAGCACATCTCTGTTTCATTAGTGACTAAAATATGTTGCCTATACTGCCTCATTGTAGAGAAACTGGATGAGTCAGCCATCCAGACACCACATAGTGAATCTCTGGTACACCCGGGAAACTAGGGCAACCGCACTCCCGCACAGATGCCCTGCTGTTCTTACTGGTAGCCATGAGTTCACAGTGAATAGTCTGCTCTGAAAAAGTATGAAGGTAGCAACTGTGTCATCCTGACTGCTGCACATTGCAGTGGAAATATTTCTGCATCTGGGAAGTGACCGTATGCTGATGTTATACCACGCCACACCACGAGGATTCCCATGTGGAATCCCAGAGTCTGGCCAGGGATGTTCTGACTGGCGTCAGTTATAACCTGCATAACTGACAGCTGGGAGATCTTTAATGTTTGTTTGACCTTGACCTCTCCTGAAATGATATGGCAGCAATATAGGAATTTCCATTACTTTGGATACCAAACCTGACAGCTGTTGGTCAAAATTCAACTCTAGGGAACCGATTTGAAAGAACTCTTTCAAAAGAAAATAGGTTCCACCATCCCTCGAGTACCCAAATTCCTTTTTTTTTTTTTTTTTTTTTTTCTGGAACTGGTGTTGAGGAAGAGGATCCAAAAGGCAAACCGAGTCTCATGAAAGGTATTCTGAAACTTTTTTTTTTGGGGAGTGGGATGGGGGGACAGAGTCTCGCTCTTTCGCCCAGGCTGGAGTGCAGTGGTGCCATCTCGGCTCACTGCAACCTCCGCCTCCCAGGTTCAAGCAGTTTTCGTGCCTCAGCCTCCTGAGTAGCTGGGATTACAGGCACCTGCCACCATGCCCAGCTAATTTTTGTATTTTTAGTAGAGACAGGGTTTCACCATGTTAACCAGGCTGATCTCAAACTCCTGACCTCAGGTGATCCACCTGCCTTGGCCTCCCATAGTGCTGGGATTACAGGTGTGAGCCACTGCGCCTGGTCTGAAACAGTTTTTATGAAGTTAAAAATATTCTGTGGATTTAGAGTAATACCATCTTTAAATCACTCATGATATCCAAGTACCCTACAATAAATTATAATTTAAAATTTAAATATAACATCACAGAAGATGGGAGAGTTGGAGCCAGAATGAGAAATTAGGGTAGCAGAAAGGGGTCCAAGAGAAACATAAGGCCAGCATGCATTTTTAAGCCAGGAATGCCAACATCTATTTAAACCCTTGTGTTTCCTGGGATTGATCATGGCTTACCACATGGCGGGGTGTGGTGCAAAGGACAAACTGCAGCACCACCCACCCACTTACTCCATCCACAATGTGTACTGAGTTTCTGCCGTTGTTAAGACACTAGATTAGTCGTGCCAGGGATGCTCCTGACTATTCTATCTTTTCTTTCCCCACTGACATTTGCTGAGAACTTGTTATGTGCCAGAATCCTTCGAAGTATTTCCCATAAATCAGTGTAAAAGCTTACAACACCCCTGTGAGCTACTACCCTGCTAGGTGGTAAGCCATGATCAATCCCATGAAACACGAGGTTTAAGTAGATGTTGCCATTTCTGCCTACATTGTGTTATCCTCATTTTTCAGAAGAGGGAAATGTGGCACAGAGAGGCTAATTAACTTGCCCCAGGTCACACAGCTGTGAAGTGGCAGAACAGAGATTCAAATTCTGGCAATCTCACTCCACTGTAAACCCCTAGTTGTGCAACTGGGGCAAGCTTGTCATCTGTAAACTTCTCCATTTGTCTACACCATGCGGTGAACAATACCTACCTCACAATATTCTCTACCTCATCCATTTTGAGGAGTAAATGAGAATGAGATAATGCATGTGAAGGGCCTAATACTTTACTGATCATAGACTTTTTCAACTAAGCTGGGAAATGATACAACTTAGGCAAAGCTATAATGATAGATATTTTACTTCTACAATGAAATCATAATTTTGAGACAATCACAAAAGAATGAAAAAATCTGATCTTTGGGACAGGCTAGTTAAGATGGATATATGAATATTTGATGATGGATGCAGCTTGCCAAAATGCACGGACCACAAGATACCTAAACACCATTTGTAATCTAATTGCATAAGCTTCATAGGCAGAATGGAGACACAACACCACACTCCAGGTGGATGGACACGAAGCAGTCTCTGTGGCTCAGGTAGGGCTCAGCAGGCCACCCTATCTTCTGGCTGAAGAGCAGAGAATGAAGTGGGAATGAGAGTGGAAGGCAAGGTAGAGATGCAGTGGAGAGCAAGGAAGACAAGTGAGCTCATTGTGCTGGCTTCCAGTCGGGCTCTCTCTAGATACGGGGTAGGCGTGAGTCCCACGCTGTCAGGGGAGAGGTGTGTTTCTATCTAGGGCACATTAAAGACTCACAGCACATAGTGCAAAGCTCTCTCTAGAAGTTTCTCCCAAAACATGTTCCAGAGAATACTACCAATAAGACAGGTATCTATCAAATGGTGACAATTAGCAGGTATCTATCGCATGGTAACAATGTATTCTGTGCTCAAGTAATTATGGGAGCTGCTAGTTAAAGTGAATGAAATCTTCTCAGTGTAGGACTTCCCAGAGCCTTTAAGAGGAAGACATCTGTAGCAAATATCTGAAAAGGAGATCTATTTTCTTGAGCTCATTTGCCAGTGGAACTCTATTAGTGACAAGCGCTTAGCCTGACTAGAACGCTGCAGGGCACAGTGGAGGAAAGATGCCTCACACCCTGGCGGCTCCACCTTCTCTAAGGCAGTGGTTCCCAAACGCTGGTGCAGAGCGGAATCTCCCGGACAGCTCGTTAAAACACAGACTCCCGGGTGCCACCTTCTGAGCTTCTGACTCAGTAGGTTTGGGGTTGGGCCGGAAAACCTGTACTTCCAATAAGTTCATAGGCAATGCTGATGCTACTGGTCCGGGGATCATGCTTTGAGAACCACAGCTCTAATGCAATCCCCTAAAGTACATGAGGGCTCTCTGGAAGGACATTACTTCTCAAAAATGATGACCAACAAAGGCAGAATGAACACATTAGGGAGGGACCAAAGACCAAAACAAACAAACAAAATTTAATGGCAGATGTCTTCTAATTCTGCTATTGTGCTCAGATATGTCATCTCTTAAATTGTGGTAGATAGAAAAGCCTTTAAATTTCAGAGCCCTCAGCTTACCTTGTATTATTGTTACCTAACATTCTTTTTGGCTTCTTTTTACTGCAAGTTTCTCAAGCTCAAGAACTGCGTATTGGTTAATTTTTATTCTGAAAGGGCCTATCACAGGAGTCTGCACAGCAACAGTTGGCATTTGGGGCCAAATTCTTTTGTTTCTTTTCACATTAAGTAGAAAATACCTGGCCAAACTGCAGCTCCAAATTCTCTCTCCATGTGGCAATGAATCTTGTAAGTTTTTTGTTAAACTAAGAAAACAGTAACTTTCAAAACCCCAAGTCCAAGTCCAATGAGCAATGTTCAATTTTAGTATACAGTTGGTACTACTTGAGCGGCAGACACCACAATCAACAAGTGGAACAGAAATTAAAGACTGCTTTGAAATGGAAACCTAAGCTTCAAGGTCAGCGTCTGTTCAGAGATAAAGCACCATGAGTACCAGGGTGCGTGGTGAGCAGTTTTCATTCACATCCAGCCACGTCCATCTGGTCAAACAAACAATGTAGGCAGAGGAAGAGAGGGACAAAACTGGGGTCCCTGCAGGGAGTGAGGGAAGAAGGAGGAATCAGAAAACAAAGGAGGAAACTACCCCCACCTTTGTTTAGGTGAAAGTGCCAAGCCAGAAATTACTAATCAGCTTGGGGTTAAGGACATTGCTAAATGGATTACAAAATAAATCCACAGAGCTTTTCTTTCTCCTTCTTTCCTGGATGGATGCTATAAAGTCTGCAGCTTTACTATGCTCTGTGTCCTTTCTGCCAAGGTGGCCTAGAATAACTCGTTCTGAAAGGTCAGTCTCTCTTTCGGAAACAGCATGGCACCATCTTCCTTACAGAGCAGTGTCTGCCAGGCACATGTGGGCACCCGGTGCAAGCTCCTTCCACTTGAGCCCAGCCCAGCCTGCTCAGGATCAACACTCTTTGCCCCCAGCTTCCCTTTGCACTGATGAAATCCATGTACGCTCCCTGACACAGTCACTTTTTGGAGAGTGCTCACTTAAACAGGCATCTCCATTTACACTTGGAAAAGGCTTCTAGCTAGATGTAACGTCAACCAATCTGACAAGCATTTTAATGGACGTAAAAGGAACATGAAGCAGAAAATATTTAATGACAGGCAACAGTTCCTTCCAATGCATAGATGCACATTGTAAACTGATACTTATAAGTTATGAGTGAAATGTAACCATTTAATTTTACCACTCTATAATGAATTCTTCACGCCAGAGTAATTTGCTTGTAAAAATAAATATATGTTTTCCAGATGTGTATTCTGCTCTAGGCAGGTCTAAAATGTATTTATAATCAGAAAGCCTCTATCTTGCTTGTTCTGATCAACAGAGCCATCTAATTTTTGGTTCAAATGAACTGTGGAACTTCGGGATACCAATCCTTTGGAAGCTTTGAAGTAAAATCTCTGATTTCTTATGAGGCAGCTGGACTTTAAAGAAGGAATAACAACACTATAGGACACCACTGTGGAAATAAGAAAAGGATAATTCACAATACAATTGGCACTGATGAGCTTTGGTACAGGGATGCTGTGTACCTTGAACATTGCTTTATGTACAAGTGATGTGCCCCGTGCCTGCTTTTTCCCTGTAAGGCCATCTCAGCACTACCTAAGTGTCATAAGGAGACTAGAAAGGCATAAATGTTCTATCTGTAGGAGTCCAAAGCTATCAGAGTGCTAATAAACAAGGTGTCCCAAATGAAACCTGAACCTTAAAACTTTGAAACCTTGATGGATAGAACCTAGAAAAAACTAACCTCAAAGCAACATGCAGTTTTCAACCTCAGGAGTCTTCAGTACTCTTTTGGGGGCAGACTGCAGCTTTATTCTGGAAGATTTGCCTGAATGGGCTCTGGTAGCATTCCTTGATAGGGGCTCTTTGGCATTTTGGTAGAGATAAAATATTTGTTTTGTGGCTCTGCCCTGGATGTTATAGTGTCTTGAGCACACCTGGCTCTGGCCCAATGAATGCCCCCAGTCACCGCGACAAGCAGAGGTGCCTCCACTCATTTCCAAACACATCTTCTGAAGGCAGTCCCTGTCTATCAGAGACCCCAAGTGAGGCACACCAGGCTTTTGGGCTTCCACCAAACCTGGGGAAGCTAAGAGCACCATTCACCTGGAAGCCCAGGAGGCATATCTGGTAACCATGGGGCACGTGGAGTCAGAACTATGTCTCTATGTCTCTTTGATTTAAAGTTCTCTGCTCTGTACAAAATAGGATGTGACTGTGCCTGAAAAGCAGCTTGTTCTCTCTGAGAGGCTTGTGGGTTGTTGCTTTGAATGCTGTGCCTGGAAGACAACTAAATTAAGATGGAGAAGACCTTGGGAAGACTTTCTGGCACAATGTCACCACTTTGTAGAAACAGGAAGACAGCGAAAGGGAACTAGGCCAAGCTTGGATGGGCGGCTCCCCAAGAACCTGGTGAAGTTCTATCCGTAGCATTGTTTAGTCTCAAAGTCCCAAAAGGTATGAAGGTCAGACTGTCTCCAAGGAGTTGTACTGTTGGGAGCCATGGGGCAAGGCACATCTCTTTGGGCAGGGGATGGGGCTTACCTTAAAAGAACTGGACCCTCCCACTGTCCATCAGTCTGGGAGAGGCTAATTTTAGAAGAAGACAAACACCACAGACATGGGCCTTATGGCAGCAGGGCCTCTGAGGCATAGGCAAGGTTTGTGTGCCCCAGATGAAGTGGCTGAGTGGATCCCTGACACATGGAAGGAACTAAAAAGTCCTGTCAGTAATCCTGACACGAGGTCTGGCCTAGCAGGGTGGTGACAACAGCCACTCTTGAGGCAGTTGCAAATCACTCCTCCCTGGTTTATAAAAACATCAGTAGACATGTCAAAAGTTGCAGCATAGGCTTACTGTCCTAGGAGGAGTTAAGGGAATGGCCAGCTCTGAGCTTGGGGGAGAAGCGTTTCCTCCAAGTGCAGAGAGGTGGTCAGATCAGTGGGTGACACACAGAGGCCCCAGCAGCAGGAGCAGCAGTGAGCAGCCTGAGGAGGAAGCCATGAGAGGGACATGGGGCCGTTCACACAGCATCCTGGGAACTGCAGGATAACTGGACAGCTGAGGGTTCAGGGGCATCATAATTACGGTGTCGGTGATGATATGAGCTGCTTATTATTTACCACATGGCGGAGTCTGGACACGTGACTATCATAAGAATCAGCCTGGGCATGAGGCCCAAGCCAACTGCCTCTCCTCTGCAAGCACCTCCTGGAATTGTTGGTCACTTACTGTTCCTTTCTACCTCTCAGGCAGAAGGCAGCGGTCAGAGGTGTTCACATCTGCAGGCTTCCCCTGCACTCTGGTGACACTCTGGCTGAGCTTGAGGACAAGGATCTCACTTTATCAGCTGCTGTTTTTCCTCCCTGCCAAGACCCTGCACAGCCCTGCATGCCTAAGTGCTCAAGGAATAATTTTTTCTTTGATTGCGAGATTAAGGAGTCTCAGTTACTGTGGTCTACCTGTCCCTCTTTCTCTTTCCACATTACCACACAAACACCAGGATGCAACCTGGAAGTGTATGAGAGAGAAGGTATGAAATACGGAGTGGCTCCTTGAGGAAAGAATCCATTTGGACCAGTTGAAACTGGATAAAACAGACTCTTGCAAGGTCTAACCTATTCCAACTTGCTGGAAATACCTGGTCCTGAACTTCTACCATGAAGTTCTGCTGTCCCTAGGGCTCTAGGTGACAATGGCCTCAAGGCTCGGGGAGACTGCCCAGTGGTTCCAGGTACTGGTGGCACAATGGCAAGTGGATGACATGAATGTACCTGAAGTGTTCCTGGACTCCTGGTTTGCCCATTATTCTAGGTAGTTTTGGTATCGTGGTGGAGATTCTAGAGCTCTGCATTTCTGCATTTATTCATGGGAATAAACCGGTTCTGGATGGTTCAAACTAGTTGTGAATGACTTAAACCAGATGAGAGTGGTTCCTCCTGGATCAAAAAGGCTCGTTCCTTTTATGTCTTGATTAAACAGATTCAAACATGTTATGACTGGCTCAAACTAGTTTAAACTGGATTAGCCTTACACTGACCTTAGACTAGCCAGGTTAGATTTGATCAAAGGGTTCACTGTCCTTGAAGCAAGCCAGTTCAATCTAGCTTGAACAGGATGGACTGGTTCAAAAGCAATGCCACCTAGTTTGAACCAACTCTGTAACATGAATGTTTGCCACTGACCTCCAGCTGTCAGTGGAAATCCAGTGGTACATGTCGTGCACTTGAGACATAATACTCAAAATGGCATCCTTCCTCATTACATCAACTTTTCAAAGGTTGTGATCATAAGTACTTCTTCTCAAGACTGGCCATTTATAACAACCTAAATAGATCATGTTTGTACATAAAGACCCCAGTAGACTTTGGAAATTTTTGTTAACAGGCACGTGCATAAGCACTGCCTGTCTGATGTCATCTCAAACCATTCTCCTCTAAACTAGATGTGGAGCCGTGGCCAGTGCTGTAGACTGCTCAAGTGCCCACACCTGCCCACCATCCCTGCTGGAGCACCCAGATGTCCTCACCTTGATCCTGCTTACGGCTTCCTGGGCCTGCATCATGCGCACATTTTTGGAAGGAGTTTTGTCTGAGAGCAGCTGGGTGGAGCCAAGGTAATTGGCAGCAAAAATGATTCCATCGATCAAGTCTTCGGGGTCGCAGGGTCCCGGAACTGTAACACACAGAGCCACAGTGAGGGAAGCCATCCTGGGGCGGGGCCTGCCAACCCCGTCAATGGCACGTCACCCCTCTTCCATGCCTCACCACTGGCACAGGTGAGGCAGAGCAAACCGCTGGTCTAAGGCATCTTTCTGTGTCTATCTGCACCCACACCTCATTTTCAAATAGAAGGCACAGTTTCTAGAATAATTTGCTTCTCTAAAACCATTTACTATGGAAAGTGATGCAAATATTTACTTAAATATGGAACATAAAATTCAGCAATAAAGCATACTGTTTCTCCTGTTAGACTGAGCTCTTAAGGGACAAAGACCATGTCATATTCACCTCTGATTCTCTTGTGTCTTACTGCCACCCAGGTGGTATCAACTACATGTTTGCTGGATAAATGGTTAAGTAACTAGATGGCTTTTTAGAAAAGCTTTTTACAGCAATTCCTATTACTTGTCTCCCATTCATATCTCCTCCCCCATTTAGTCCATAATGGAAGAAACAAATTTATAGATCAGAAAAATAGGATATCTGTTTCAGAATGTCTGGATTCCTGTAATGGCTTCTGACCTCAATTGTGCAAGACAGATAACATGACCTCAAAGCCACGGTCCCATGCTGTCAATCTTGTTCACTTACAGGGTATAATGTTCTTGGCCTGTGCCTACACACAGACAGATTCCAAGGAAAATCAAATTTTCTGTTCTAATTTACCAGCCTTTTAAGTCAAACCTGTTTTAAATATTTTAATTGGGGGCACCTGATTCTAACCACAATTAGAATTGTAATTCTAATTGTAAACCCTAACTCGAATTTAAAACATGTCTGTGATTAATATATAACTGTATAACAGTCCACTTAAAAAGGCATTTTAATCTGCAATTGAACATATATATTTTATTTTCTTTTTTTTTGAGACAGGGTCTCACTCTCTCACTCAGGCTGGAGTACAGCGGTGTGATCTCGGCTCACTGCAACCTTTGCCTCCCAGGTTCAAGGGATACTCCCACCTCAGCCTCCCAAGTGGCTGAAACTACAGGCACTACCATGCTTGACTAATTCTTGTAGTTTTTGTAGAGATGGGGTTTTGCCATGTTGCCCAGGCTGGTCTTGGACTCCTGGGCTCAAGCAATTTGCCCGCCTCAGCCTCCCAAAGTGCTGAGATTATAGGCATGAACCACCACGCCTGGCCCTATGTATTTTATTTGCCTTGAGTGGTACATCTGGGGAGACTAAAATATACATTTTAACTCACTGTTAAAACCTCAGGGTCTTAAATTAGATAACTTGTAATGGAAACAATTTGCTTTTTCCTCTTGGAAGGCTAATCTGAAATGCTTTTTATTTTTACCCTTAAACATCAAGCTCATCTTGAGTTTACACAGCTGTGTCCTGTGCTGAACTACTTATCAGAGTACAGATGTAAAATAATCTACTCATTTATCTAAAACTAAGGTGGTGCTTGAAACAAAGAAATTAGAAGTGTTTTAGGAAGGGCTTTCACAAAGCATCTATGTAGTAATTAAATAAGGAAGCCTGTTATTTGTCTTATTCTCCATTTTTACAAGCAAGACTTCGAGGCTAACACTGTAAGTGGTACACAGACAAATCTGCCTCCACTACTTACCAGTAATTCACACTCTGCTCAACAGCCACAGGGGCCTGCTCCGAATCTTTTATAGATGTGAGACGGATTCGGGCTATATATGATATACAGGTTCAGTTGTATGTCAGGGAAGCATATAAAATAATATATGAACAGGTCTGAATCCACATTACACTTTATATAAAGTAAAAGATTGTCAGTTCTTCCATGATAAGTTCCTAGTGATGCATTTCAGTGTTATTGAAACATAATCATTATTGCCAACCAGATATGGAGAAGAAAGATCTCATCTGGGAAATGAACTTTAAAAGTCTTCCATCTATTTTTTAAAAATCAACGTTAAAAGAAAAACAAAAACTAACTACCTTCTCTACGGGACTTGTAACATCATACATTCTTCTCTGATTTGGCGCTACGGGCGCTATTCACTGACAAGGTCCCTTTTTGACTACAGTAAGTGTGGGTATGGGGAAACGTTTAAAAGCAATCCAAATTATATTTAAATGACTGTAGAAATGCCAAGCAGCCAAGACACACAAATATCAGACCTAAACACATTTTGAGATATGATCTTATTGCCATTTATCCTTTCAGGAAATTGAATATAATTGAATGTCACTGTCACCGCATCACACCCAGAAAAATAAAAGCCCCAATTTCATAAATTCACTTTGGGCTCAGTGCTAGTATATTCTTACAAAGTTAAAAAAAATTAAACCCTTAATGATCCTGTGTCAGAGAATTGCAAGTTTTCTTTTGGCCTTTCAGAACGTGGTTTCCCTTTAGTGCTGCCTTCGGGTTGCTCTGTGGATGAGAGACCGCACACGTGACATCCTCACACTCAGGCTAACGCTGAGCCTGAAAAATCTCTAGGCCAGGGGGACGAATATGAAGAAGGGAGCTTTCAAACTTCAGAAAACTTCCCAGAGTGCTCTCACAGAATTTCAGAGCCTCACAAAACTGATGCAAATAATTTACAGATGACTGAAGAGAGAAACCTGAGTAACTAAACCAAAACTGTGAGCTTGTCCTAGGCTTTGAGCCCAAGGGTTCATGAAGGTTTATGAGCCCTGGTAACCCTTTCCCAGGCAGTGGAACACAATGACTGTTCACGCACAGGATCCAAAGGCCAGATACACCCTCAGAGAGATGTCTGGGCATTCTCTGGCCTCCAGAAAAGCCTCCTTCAAGGAAATGGTGATACACCCAGGTAGACCCTCAGCACCATCTCTAGCCAGAGAGTTGAGTGCCTCTTTGTGAATGAGAAACGGTGCCTGATTTGGTGCCCCATTTGGATGGTACAATCTCCAGCTGGAGTGCAGAGCTTGGCTGAACTTTGGCCCCACTTGGCCTCTGAGTAGGTGCCCTTGTGCAGTGAGTAACCTGCACAACCAGGTGTGGCAGCCCCACAGAGACACTGGTTTCCAGAGAGAATTATGGTGCCAGCCTGCCAATTCATAGCCTGGCTCTGCAGTGCCAACTGTGGGATCTTGGGCAAGTTATAATCTTGATGCCTCAGTTGTCTCATTATAACATGGGGATAATAACAAAACTCATTTCACAGGATTGATGTGAGGATTCAATTAGTTAGTACATGGGAGGTGCTTAGAACAGAACCTGGCAGAGTAAGCATGGGGTAACCGTTACTATTACTAGCTCATACACATAATAGATGAAAATTGCTGGGAAGGTTTTTCTTATTAAAAAAGACCAAAATTTCTGCCTTAATGTTCATTCCCACTTGAATTTTTCTTATTGAATGTACGGGGTGCACAGGGACAGAATAAGGAGACTTGGGTTTTTGATCCAATGTGACCACTGCTAAGCTGCATGACACTGGGTAAAGCCCACAGCTTCGACTCCAATTTCAGAGTCCTCATCCACATAATAGGCAAAGACGTGAGTAGGATTTTTGAGAGGCTCCCAGCTATCACCCTTCTGAGTCTAAGATTCTAAGACTGTTAACATTGTGAATAAGTGACTTTATGGCCTTTCTTCCCTTCTATTGTCTTATATCTCAGTGCTTCATATGCCCCAATACTAAAAGATTAATGAATGACTCAGTGCTCAATATTTGCTTTTCAGCTCTTACCTTCAACGTAGGTTGGGAATGAAGCCAAGCTTTTTCTTGACTGTAATTAAGACAAAGAGGTTTCAAAAAGAGCAAAGTATAATGAAATATGCATTAACACAATCATCCATGCAACATGAAAAATAAACACATCATCAGTGGCAGTTACCAGTTACTGATCATTTTTAGTTAGAGAAAGTAAAGTGCAGATAAACATGCATTTATTAGTAAAGGTTACCTAAAACCCAGAATAGTCCATTCATATTTTAGATAACCTAGAAATCTTACATTTCACAATCAGAGAGGTATTTGCCAACTAAAAAAACAATCCCACAGACAAAAATCTCTAACAACAACAATAAAAAGGGCACAATTTGTAGTCTTAAGGATCTGCATTTCCATGTGAAAAACTGATTAGTGAAAGCACCAACGTTATGACTATACGTTGAAATTAAGAATTCTCTTAGAGAAATTTATTTTACTCTTTGCCACAGTGATCTCTCACTGTGCTAAAAATGTGTGCTAGAGGTTTTTAAAAATCTCTTTCTTCCATCTCCTACTGATTTATTTTAGTTGAAAAACTCCATTATATAAATCATTATTGTGTGTTTTCTGAATAAGAACACAATAATGGAGTAAATTCCAGTAAACCCTGGAATTTCTTCTGCACCTCAGAGCAAAGGTCAGTGTTCTCACAGCACTGTTGGAAGCAGAGATGATGAGCTAGACACCTTTTAGAGCCTGACTAGATGGCAGCTTAACTGCCTGCTCTCAGAGGAGCAAAACTCACCATACGTTCCTTTCAGAAGCAGATGTCCTAGATGTAACACTGACTGAGATAAGAGAAAGAAATTCACCCCTGCTTCTACCAGTAGAATTTGTAGCTGGTGTGTCTGGACCAGGGTGATACAAGCATCACAGGAGAGTGGAGAGCTATTGTTAAAGACAAGTCCCTAAAATGCGTAGAAGGTAAGATTTGCATGGCCAAGAATTTCATTGCTGAGAACCTACCCAGTCTTAGGTGATTATTTAAATGCATGACTTTAAGAGGAAAGATATCTGGCACTGAATAGCTGTTGGATAGGCTGACCTGCATAGATGGTAGACTCTGGGGTGCCTGGCAGGTTGGATGAGGAAAGCGCCCTGGGTGAGTGTTGGGATGTCATTGGGAGCAACTCCCTAACCTAGCACTTAACACAGTGCTCTTTCCTTGGAGGATGGGAATGGCAAAGGGATGATAACTTAGTTAATACTTGGACAACAGTCTAAAAATAGTAGTTTTAATTGTTTTGTGAAAAATTGGGGCAGTTGAAGAAACCTAGTTATAAGACTCCAGGTCAATTCAGTATAATGACAATTCAACACGAATCACACAATAATATATTGTACAGGGCAGCTTTTCAGTAAACCTGCTGCATGTGTGCTCACTGAGGTGAAATGGCTCTGCACACCAAAGTAGGTGGGTTCCTAGTGCACCAGGAATGAAAAGCTACTGGCTAGTAATGCGTTTATGAGAAAATGCACACCAAATAAAAGCCAGAATATGTGGACGGGGGAAAGAGAACTCCAGTTTCAGCAGTGCTTTACATTAATTGTATTTTCCACTTACCTAAGTGAGAAGATAGGCCCAGTTAAGGGCCAGCAGCCAAATCTAATTCAGATTGGTTTAAAGGAAAAAAAAAAAACCCTCATAACTTCATGTTATGCAGATGGAAGCTAGAATCTTCACAGGGGCCAAAAACTTTTAAGTTACTATTTCCCAACCATTTCCCTACCCTTGTCCCAAGTAACTAGAACCTGGGGTAATGAGAGTTTGTTTAATCAAAATTGCTTAGCCTCCAGGTACATCTAAGAAGTCACTTCACATTTTCTTGCTCTATTTGGATACTTTTCTGAATGCTAATCTCAAAGACAGTGTCCAGATTGTAGCAGAAGCTACAAAAGAATTACTTTAGTCAATAGCTCTAAAAGCTGCCATTTTATTAAGAGCTACAACAGAAAGCATTCGGTACATTCACTTATTCTCTACTCATGAGCTCACGACTAGCTTTCTTAGTCTCTGGGGTGGTAAGATGTTTTTTTTTTTAAAGAGTTTTGTGAAATGGAAGAATCTCTTAACTATTGCACACAAATAGGATTTTCATCATCATTTCTAAAGATATATAGAAACATGAGCAAAGTCTTGAGGGACTGAGAAACTAACAAATTTGCCTTATTATATCTGAAGCATAATCAAATGCTGAATATTTAGATGTCTGGTTAGCCCTTTATTTCACACGTGGACTGAGATGAACATCTGCTGATCCTTAACTTTCAAGAATAAATAAAGCTGCATTTAAAAAGTTAAAGGCTAAGATCTTTGGGATTTGTGTTTGGGGGGGTCACACAAATCGACTCATGGGCAGAACTTGGAGGCACAATTGGGCAACCGGAACAATGACAGACAAGCTACCTTGTCCATGTAGTCTGTGGCCTGTGAACACTTTCTACTCTGGGAGTGGCAGATCTTGGCAGTTAAGAGCGTGGGTTCCCATGAGCTCTGGATTTGAATCCTGGCTGACCACTTGTGAGCTCTACAATCTCAGGTAAGTTACTCAACCTCTTAGCTTCTTCAACCAGCAAATGAGGACAATGATACCTACCTCACAGAATTATTTTAAGAATTAAATGAGACACTATCTGTGATTTTTCTCAGCCCAGTTCCTGGAACATTGTCAATGCTCAAGAAATGATAATGCTCATTACTGTTACCACCATGGCACCTGTCCTTTTTTTCTTCTTACTATGCGTTCTCACCCAACCATGTGATGTAAGAATGAAGCGAACTGTGGAACAGTGGGAACAGCAGAAACTGTGCCCCTGTCACTCCTGCTTCAAATGGCCAAGGGTCTGAGGTTCAAGACCAGAGGAGGCCTAAGTATATTTCTAGTCTAAATTCTAATGTTGGTCATTTCAGAGAAGGTCTATCTTTGATTGTTTGGTTTAATATGAACAGATTAATAAAAATACTTTTCCTTTGCATATTTAATGGCAAATATATGTGTATTCAAGGGTACCTCAAGGATAAATTTTAACTAAGACTTCCTTTAAAAGTGATCTGCCACTCAGTTTAAAACAGAGATTGTTTTTTTCATTGCATTTAACATAAAATTATCAGCAAAATGAGGGAAAAGGAAACCATCGTTCATCATGTGGTTTACCTCTTTAACACATCTCCTCAGTGTTGATGAGGGAGCAGCTATATTTAGAGTGAGCTGAGCCCACACACAGATTATGGCGCAGACCAACATTTACTTGATGTTGGCTCATTAGCAGGCGTGGGTGGCAGTTCACTCGGTGTAAAAGGACCTTGGGTACAGGAGAAGGCAGTGTCTCCCCTCTGGGGCTGCCCTTTCTCAGCTCCAGGCACCTCAGTGGGAAAAAGCAGCATCTTCTCACTGAAATGTTCCACATAAGCAAGGAGACCACAGAATTTGTTGTCCAAAAGGGATACTTTAGAGCTGCACTGTCTGGCAGTCTGCAGCCACACGTGGCTATTTAAGTTAATTAAAATGGGATAAAATGAAAACTTCAGTTCCTCAGTTACACTGGCCACATTTCCAGGGTTTGACAGGCACATGAGGCTAATGACTACCACAGTGGACAGAGCAGAAGTGGAACATTTCCAGCATCGTGGAAAGTTCTCACAGACAGCACTGCACCAGCAAGAGAGAAGGGCGTGCTCATAAGACGGGCTGCCTGGACAACAGGCGTGGACTAGAACCATACCCTAGGTAAACTGGGAACATATGGCCACTCTATTCTTATGAAAGATACCGCATTTGGGCCTGAAATAAATGAGTGTTTAAGAAACTAACGTATTTCCCAAAGCACACAGCAACTGCAAGTCCTGGCATGTAACGCCAGGAGGAAAGATGCTGTACGTGGAGTTTTTGGTATCCAAGGTCAAGTGCTGTTCAACAGCACTTCCGGCAATGATGCAAATGCTCTGTAACCCACCCTCTCCAATACAGTATCCACCACTGACAGCCATCACAGGTGGCTACCGAGCACTTGAAATGTGGCTACTGTGCTTGAGGAAATAAACTTTTCATTTTATTCATTCATTAGACACCTGCAGCCAGTGGCTATCAAACTGGATGACATGGCTTTAACAGGTGAACTGCACACTGGAGAGGAGAAATCAGGATTGTTTTCACCAGGGTAATGTGGGTCAGGAGCGCCGTAGAATGCTGTATTAGGAAGCACAGAGCAGTATTACAGTAAAGCAAAGTGGCCCGATGGCCTTGGTAACAAAACAGCACCCTACCTCTTTATTTGTGGAGGCTTCTGCGGGGTCACTGGGGTGAAGAGGTGTGCCTGATGACTCTGCACCCAAGGGTGAGGAGCTGCCAGGAGACGGAGACTAGAACACAGCAAGAGGAAACACGGTAAGAACTTGAGAGACTTGGCAGACACTTGGCCGGGGGAAAGGGGCCGGGAGAGAGAAGCAAACAGAACACAACTGAACAGACACTGCATGGGGAGAAAATCTCTTAGAAAGGAGCTGCCAACTGTACATAAAACACTTGTGGTTTTCAAGCTTTCTTCTTCAAGTTCTGCCATGCTTTCAAAGGAGATTTCATAGCTCTGGGCTGTTATTTCCCTTAGGCCAAATGTTGAAAGAAAATACAGAAAAGGTTGAATATCAAAACTCCTAATTGAATTGAGCTAAGGATATTACACAAATATGTTTAAAACATTTTTTTCTTACTGATGAAGCCAAATGTTTAGGGTATCAAATGTCTTATAAAATCGCCTGCCCCAAATGATCCAAATGAAAAGTAAAAATTAAAACACACATTTTTAAAGAGGCAGCTGGGCCTGATTTTGACGACTAGAAACCATACCACCTGTATTTTCCTAGTCAATTCAGATTTCAAATATTTCGGATTTAGTCTACAGGCTATTGAAAATTCAGAGAAATTTCAGCATTTTAGCATCTGAACACTACCTTGGACGCTCTTAGAACAGTTCAAAAATCCTTTGTCAAACAGTATATCAGAAAATAAGGCTTATAAACATAATCCAGCATATAAACAGAACCAAAAACAAAAACCACATGATTATCTCAATTGATGCAGAAAAGGTCTTTGAGAAAATTCAACAACCCTTCATGCTAAAACCTCTCAATAAATTCAGTATTGATGGAACGTATCTCAAAATAATAAGAGCTATTTATGACAAACCCATAGCCAATATCATACTGAATGGGCAAAAACTGGAAGCATTCCCTTTGAAAACTGGCACAAGACAGGGATGCCCTCTCTCACCACTCCTATTCAACATAGTGTCGGAAGTTCTGGCTAGGGCAATCAGGCAGGAGAAAGAAAGAAAGGGTATTCAATTAGGAAAAGAGGAAGTCAAATTGTCCCTGTTTGCAGATGACATGATTGTATATTTAGAAAACCCCATCATCGCAGGCCAAAATCTCCTTAAGCTGATAAGCAACTTTAGCAAAGTCTCAGGATACAAAATCAATGTGCAAAAATCACAAGCATTCTTATACACCAATAACAGACAAACAGAAAACCAAATCATGAGTGAACTCCCACTCACAATTGCTTCAAATAGAATAAAATACCTAGGAATCCAACTTATAAGGGATGTAAAGGACCTCTTCAAGGTGAACTACAAACCACTGCTCAATGAAATAAAAGAGGACATAAACAAATGGAAGAATGTTCCATGCTCATGGATAGGAAGAATCAATATCATGAAAATGGCCATACTGCCCAAGGTAATTTATAGATTCAATGCCATCCCCATTAAGCTACCAATGACTTTCTTCACAGAATTGGAAAAAACTACTTTAAAGTTCACATGGAACCAAAAAAGATGCCTACATTGCCAAGACAATCCTAAGCCAAAAGAGCAAAGCTGGAGGCATCATGCTATCTGACTTCAAACTATACTACAAGGCTACAGTAACCAAAACAGCATGATACTGGTACCAAAACAGAGATACAGACCAGTGGAACAGAACAGAGCCCTCATAAATAATACCACACATCTACAGCCATCTGATCTTTGACAACCCTGACAAAAACAAGAAATGGGGAAAGGATTCCCTATTTAATAAATGGTGCTGGGCACCAACATGGCACAAGTATACATATGTAACAAACCTGCACGTTATGCACATGTACCCTAGAACTTAAAGTATAATAAATAAATAAATAAATAAATAAATGGTGCTGGGAAAACTGGCTAGCCATAAGTAGAAAGCTGAAACTGGATCCCCTCCTTACACCTTATACAAAAATTAATTCAAGATGGATTAGAAACTTAAATGTTAGACCTAAAACCATAAAACCCCTTGAAGAAAACCTAGGCAATACCATTCAGGACACAGGCATGGGCAAGGACTTCATGTCTAAAACACCAAAAGCAATGGCAACAAAAGCCAAAATTGACAAATGGGATCTAATTAAACTAAAGAGCTTCTGCACAGCAAAAGAAACTACCATCAGAGTGAACAGGCAACCTACAGAATGGGAGAAAATGTTTGCAATCTACTCATCTGACAAAGGGCTAATATCCAGAACCTACAAAGAACTCAAACAAATTTACAAGAAAAAAAATCCCATCAAAAAGTGGGCAAAAGATATGAACAGACATTTCTCAAAAGAAGACATTTACGCAGCCAACAGACACATGAAAAAATGCTCATCATCACTCGCCATGAGAGAAATGCAAATTAAAAACACAATGAGATACCATCTCATGCCAGTTAGAATGGCAATCATTAAAAAGTCAGGAAACAACAGGTGCTGGAGAGGATGTGGAGAAACAGGAACACTTTTACACTGTTGGTGGGACTGTAAACTACTTCAACCATTGTGGAAGACAGTGTGGCGATTCCTCAAGGATCTAGAACTAGAAGTACCATTTGACCCAGCCACCCCATTACTGGGTATATACCTAATGGAGTATAAATCATGCTGCTATAAAGACACAAGCACACGTATGTTTATTGCGGCACTATTCACAATAGCAAAGACATGGAACCAACCCAAATGTCCATCAGTGACAGACTGAATAAAGAAAATGTGGCACATATACACCATGGAATACTATGCAGTCATAAAAAAGGATGAGTTCATGTCCTTTGTAGGAACAAGGATGCAGCTGGAAACTATCATTCTCAGGAAACTATCGTAAGAACAGAAAACCAAACACTGCATGTTCTCACTCATAGGTGGGAATTGAACAATGAGAACACTTGGACACAGGAAGGGGAACATCACACACCAGGGTCTGTCGTGGGGTGGGGGGAAAGGGGGAGGGATAGCATTAGGAGATATATCTAATGTAAATGACGAGTTAATGGGTGCAGCACACCAACATGGCATATGTATACATATGTAACAAACCTGCACGTTGTGCACATGTACCCTATAACTTAAAGTATAATAATGAAAAAAAAAAAAAAAAAGAAAGAAAGAAAAATCAGCTCAGGGAGAATGGCCTGGTTGGGTGTGGTATTGCCTGGGCTGATGGGACCCCAGCTCCCTGTGCAGGCAGGCCCTGCTAGATGTGAATAGGAAGCTTCCAGGTCCGTGTACACAGAAGGTGCTCCATAAATATCTTCTGAATGGATGGGCAAATAAAACAAGCAAGCACAGGGATGGGACTGATATAGGCCTGGAAAACACTCCTCGGCCTATAGCCAAACATTGTTGTGTGCTCCTGAAATCTTGGGAGATGAAAGGCATCTTCAGGTGAGCCACAGAGATGCTTAAGAATTCTGCAGTGATGGTCCTCTGAGAGGAAGGCTATGCTGCTTCACAGTCTGTTGGCAATGTTTGACAAAAGGCATAAAACACAGAGAAAAACCCAACATAGATGTATTCCCTCAGGAAGCGTGAGGAAGTGAGTCTGGGCAAAGGAAGCAAAATAACCCTAGTCCTTGCTTGAACCCATGTCTGATCTCTCAGGACCAGCCCCCTTGGGGAAGCTGAGGCACAAGACATCAGTAAAATATCTTCATGGAAAGGGAGAATGTTTCACACAGAAATGGTGCCGGTGTTGGGGCAGTGGGGGCACGTTGATAGACAAGGGGGAGCTTGGTGAGCATCGTGTGAAACAAACAAACAAAAATAAACATTTTCCAAAAAGTCTGAATTATGGAAAATATAGGGGGCCACAAATGAACAGAAAGACAATGCAGTGAAATTCATTTTAATTCAGATGAAGCAGTTGTATGACCCCAGCATAATGCTGTGAGACTTGAATTTGTTTCTTGTGATCCCATACACCTGATTCTAGGCAGGGAGGTGAGGACAACGAACGACCCCCTTAAATGTTCACATGCAGACATCAGACACTCTGTGGGGAAGCCAAGAGGGCAGGCCCAGGGTAACAGCTGGCATAAAGAAACCCAGGCCCCACAGCCCTTGGCTGCAATAAAGCAGCCCCGCATGCCTTCAAGAAGAAACACACACAACTTTTATTTGGCACCGAAGAGAGCTGGTGCATATTTGCTGATTTTGCTCTCTGGCTGACTCCAAATTAATGTAGTAAAGTCTTCATGAGAAGTTAATGCCTTTAAATTTCCCCAGTTTTTCAGATCTGAAGAGCTTCTTCGGATATGCACGATTCTATTTTTTCCCCCAAGTAATTTTCTGTCACAAAGATTTTAAGGGTCTGGCCCCCAGGGAACCTGGTGTAGCTGGATTTTCTTTAATTGCATGGTTTGAGGGCTGTATCACACCTTCATTAAAAACAATCCTCCAGAGAGTCTCACATTTCCTATTTCTCAATTGCTCTAAATCTTCTAAAAATAAATTCTTTACAACATTATGGGCACCTGATGATCTTAGGATGATGTAAGAAGACAGGTTACACAGACAGTGAGCAGGGGCATGGAAGAGGGAGCCTGGACCCCACAGAAAAGTGAGGTGACTGCTGCTGAGTACCCACATGGAATAGAGGGAGGGGGCACAAATGAGCCTGCAGTGGACACCGCCCTGGCAGAGGCTCTGGTTGAACCCACACCCACCACATCAGGGACTGCTTCCCCGCAGACCCTGGGTGCTCTTGCCTTTGGCACGTGCTTGAGCTAATTCAAGTTTCCTCCCGTTTGCATGTGCAATTAATCACCTCCACCTAGAAAGTTCACCCTCATTCTTTCCTACGTTCAATGTTCAGCTCAAAAGCAGTCATCTTGCTGAAGCTTCCGCAGACCCTATTCACAGTACATTCCTTTTCTCCACAGCCACGTGCCATTCTGTGTAATTATCTGTTCACGTTATGCGTTATGCCCCTTCTCCCCCAAGAGCTTTCAGGAGGTAGGGACCTTGTCTTGTTCATGTTCATCCTCCAACTGCCTCGCCTTGGGTTTTGTAAACAGTAGGCACTCAG